ACACCCACACACCCACACACCCACACACCCACACACCCACACACCCCCACACCCACACACCCACACACCCACACACCCACACACCCACACACCCACACACCCACACACCTACACACCTACACACCTACACACCTACACACCTACACACCTACACACCTACACACCTACACACCTACACACCTACACACCTACACACCTACACACCTACACACCTACACACCTACACACCTACACACCTACACACCTATACACCTATACACACCTACACACCTACACACCTACACACACCTACACACCTACAGGTCGCGGATCTGGGTCCCGTCCGCAGCGAAAGCCTTTCGTCCAGACTCAAAGGAATGGATCGGTAGGCTCCGCTACCATAACAAAACAAACGGACTTTTGCGCACACACTTGAGCCTTGGTTCGCAACACGGTCTTTGGTAAGCTTTGCACAAGCAAAACACTACGTGGAAAAGGTGGTTCAGGTTTCGGTAAAAGTTTGAAATATTGTCAGTGCTGAGAGTATCCTTTGTGATACGATCCACTGAGATTCATCCTGTGTTTTTGGGTCTGTCGTCCTTCCACTTTTCATTTAACAGGGTTTCCTACTGGCCATTGGTGCCGTGAGCTTTAGCACGGAACCACATGGCTGGTCCTATATCCTGCACCTTCAGTTCAGGTTGATTCAATTTATTTAAACTTAATTAACCTTACACCCTCACAGCCGTAAACCTTCAGATTTCAGTTTATACCTTATACCTTATCGAATCCAGGTTTTATAAGTGCTGAGAGTATCCTTTGTAATACGATCCATTGAAATTTATGCTGTGTTTTTTGGGTCTGTCATCCTCTACATGGACGATACCTACTTGTGGCACCCACCTAGCCAGCACCACAACCTCGACTGCAACCTGGCGACCGCACCGCCCAGCCCATACCAGCCCAACCGACTGCTGGGCACACACAGGCGTGGCCACACACGAACATGCCAATCCATGGACCCAGACCACCGCCTGGAGTACCACCACTCCCCAACACATGCGAATATATGCAGTCGCTCACGGTAAAGGAGTTGCCCGACACGTACATAGAAAGAGAGCTCCTTCCCCTCCTCGACCCCGTGCCAACAAGTCAACCACCCCCAACCACAGACCCACACCAGTTGACAGCCAGCTCGAGGCCCTCCAACAATCAGACAGCCAATACCCTGCCAGATACAACTGAGCAAAGCCCGGCGACCCAAACCACAGCGGGCAGCACACTGCCGACAACACCGCCGCAGAACAGCCTACCGCCAGCAGCAGCCACGGCACAGCGGGACCCAACACCAGAACAGTTCAACACGAGCGGGGCGTCCACAAGACCACACGCCAGGCCACGCGGCGGCCACACACTGCGAGACAGCCCCAGACTGGGCCGACCTCCTCAACAGACAGCAGCAAGGGACGTCCATCACCCCATCAATAGAGCCTACGACAGCAAGCTATGGGCATCCCCGGCCTGCAGCCGCAGCCGACAGCTGAGCGTTGGCAGGGAACGCACTGGAAGCAGAAAGACCCTACCTGATGCATTCACCTACCATGGAGGAGGCTATAGTCAACCTACATACAACCAGCACGAGGCTTCCTCACGGGCGATGCCCACAACCTGTGCGGAGAAGCTCTGCATGCTCTGCATGCGTAGCAAGACGGGGCGGCACTTCTAGTGGGGAGCCAGGCCAGCGCGAGCGGGGCGAACTGCCTCGAGTGGCTACCGGGGCGCCCGCCCCAACGCAGATGGATCCCGGCGACCAAGAGAGAGAGGCCCTCGCAGCAACTCAAATTCGAGGAGCAAAAGGCCGAGCAAGAAGCCCAACACGACCAGTCGGAGGAGGACACGTACTACGACGACCAGGCCGAGATCCCTTTGCGGCTGCCATGAAGACCATACCGGCGCGAGAGCCCCGACAGACGAAGACTATGCCGGGGCACAGCGTAGAGGACGAGGGCGAAGCAGCGGAGGGGCACCAAGAGCCAGTCAGCCGCAGACGAGTGACTTCAAGCCCCAAAGACCGACCGACACCATACTCGTCGCCTGACCGCAGTGACTAGGACCGTAGAAAGCTCGCCCAGTGGCTGTACCTCGCGTACTGTGTTCTGCATCGGGGCCTTTCTCAGTTGTTTCTTCACTGCAGCGAAGCAGCCATCACAGAGCAACCGAGCAGAATAGCGAGCTCCGAGTACTGTGATCTGCACCGTCCTCCTACACTGGTTTGTTTGTTCGCCCGAGCGGAGCAGCCAGCAAGCATGTAGGAGTAAGTAAAAGAGCTGAGCCCTGTGACCCGTGACTCGTACCGTACTCCTATACCACTGTGTTTTCTGAACGACGAGGCATAGAACTCACGGCAGGCGGGGCAATAACACCCACAAAGGCAACAGTGGAGCCCAGAGACGTATGTACTTCGTAGGCACAGCAGGGGTCTAGCTAGGGCATGTCATCTTTTGTGGGCACACTCCGGTAGACAGCCTTCTCTGAGTGCCAACCCGAATATCGGGGCAGAGTGAACACCCACAGAGTACAGATGGCAGCGGGGCGACGACAACAATCATCAAACATGTTCTCCTATGGCAATGGTACTTCGTAAAAGAGCTTGTTAATACCTGGTGTCGCCCGAGGAGTGCTTGCATTTCCGCATGTAATGCATGCACCCCAACCAACAAACGGGCGGCTCCCGCGGGGGCTCGCCTTCAGGCCCGGAGAAAGAAAGAAAGAGACACACAGACAGACAGAGACGGAGACACAGCAAGACGCAGACCAAGACAGAGACACGGACACAGGAGAGACAGGAGAGACCGGAGATAAAAGACACAGAGACCAAGAGACAGAGAGACGGAGCGGGAGGGGGCGGGGGGACAACGGAGACAGACGACCGAAAGAAAGAGACGACCGAGAGACCTCCGAGACAGAGACACGCAGAGACACAGCACGGAGACACAGAGACACAAACGGACGGTGGGCGGACGGCCGGACGGACTGCCGGACGGACAGACGCGCAGACACAGACACACGCAGACACATGCAGACACAGACACAGACACATGCAGACAGGCACATGCAGAGACACATGCAGAGAGACATGCAGACACACATGCAGAAACACATGCAGAGAGACATGCAGACACACATGCAGAAACACATGCAGAGACACACAAAGAGACATGCAGAGACAAATGAAGACACACATGCAGACACGCGTGCAGACACAAGTGCAGACACATGTGCAGACACATATGCAGACACACGTGCAAACACACGTGCAACAGACACACATGCCCACTCTTTTGTGATGGATTTAACCCTGAGCCGCAACTGCTCACCATTTCCTGCGAGGAATTGTTGCACATTTTTCGTCATCCGCATCCAGCATCTGCAGGCATCAGGCATTATCCTGCTGTGAAACCTTTCGCAGGATGTGCCACCGTCGCCAGCAGTCAAAACCAAAGCCCGGTCACCGTCACCAGCAGCGGCCACCACGAGTTGGGCACATAGCTCCTTGCAAAGTTGCATATGTCGACGTTGAATAATTGAGGCACCACTGCAGCTGCGACACAACAAAGTTGGAGATCGCAAAAGGCCTTCGAATGCACAGCATGGATTACTTATGCATCGTATTTTCATGCATTGCAGGCTGCTCAGAAAGAAGGACGAGGGGTTAAGCACCGAGTTTTGCAGGTTGCACAAGGATTTTTTGTAGTTTGTTTGCACCAGGCACTGTGCGCTTGAACAAGGTCATATCTGCCGCCGGCAAAGCTGGGCCCGCAAACCCGCCGCTTTCGCCACAAAACCAAAAGCGTGGCTTTTGCCTTCAACTCAATCTGTACCTTGCCATGCCTTGTGGTGACAAGCTGACCTCAACGGTGCTTGAGGTTGCTTCCGCCGTCGTAGTTTGTGAATTGTTTCACGTGTGACGAAGCTCACAGTATGTTTCACCCATAACGTCAATATTCCCGCAGTGCAACCGGCAAATATAGATGTGCCATGACTTCAAAGCTCGACATGTTTACATCAGTCGCAGTCTCGCAGCTGAGGGCGTCCGGAGGACTTCGTCGTTTGGTTGCGAGCATCGTGGTGTGGTGCATTGGAGAAACAGCGTGCGTTTGGAATCAAAGGTTTGCTGCCATGTCGGCATTCGATTGCAAGAACGTCTCACGAAGCCTGCAAGTGAATCGTTTCAAGTTGAAAGTAGAGCATCATATGAGCATCTCGCAACCCCACCATCGTCAATGGTGCACGTGCGCCAGCAGGAAAGATCCAGCAAAGTGTTCCGTTTTGTGGACGTGTGTCAGCTTTGTGTCTCGCTTCATCCATGTGGCTTGGGCGATGGCCGGCCCACAGCAGGACCAGATGCTGTAGTGTTGGATTGACTTCATCGGCAGGATCCTTCACGAGCCAGCAAAATTCCACACCGGAGTCAGGACGTGTTGGCTGACTTTGGATGCTGTTGCTTGACCCTCATAAGTACAAGCTGCGTTTCACTTTGCCGACGTCAGCGACGGGACTCTTTTGACGAGGTCGTTGCGTGGACGACGATGACGGCTCCTTAATACTTTGTGAAGCATTTGACAGATTAATTTCGTCCTCTCTTTCATGCGCTGAATGAAAGGTTGGCTATCAAGTTTCGTTTGTGCCTCAGGGCGATTCATTGCTACAGTACTTGCTGTGGCTTGTGTGCAGACAGGAAGCTGCCGGAGGCAAGCTGGGCGATACACGAGGCAGGAGAGGCCCGCAAGACATTTTTTGCGGGAGCAGTGCAGTATCACAGATCTGGTGCAGTCTTGGACTCAACAATAAGCCCATGCTGGCAGGAAGATGAGGAGGAAATAAGCTTTAGCCCTCTCGTCAGACCACGTCCTGTGCGAGGCCTGAGCACCTAGACTGGAACTGTCTGTCTGCAGTTGCGGTATTTCTCGGAGGTCACACGGTGGAAGAATGGTCAAGCCTTGGAAGATTGAGGTGGGATAGCATCGCGCAGGTGGAACTTGCAGCCAGTAAGTGCAGGCCTCGAGACCTTGACTTTTCTGAGCTAACTCGCAGTGGACCCGGCATCAGGCAGCCACATCGAATTTGGTGATGCGTTTGATGTCCATGACTCATGTCATGCAGGATCGGCAAGATGGAACAGCGCGGAATCACTTTTGACCAGCTCAAGAAGATTCTAGCTCGCAGCCAAGATGCAGCATGGCAGTTGTTCAACATTCGCGTGGGCCCCCACCTGCATGTCGTGTCTTGGCGTGCGTTGTATAATTCGCCAGAGCTTGCCGTGAGGAACAGATTTTCACAGGGACCCTTACAGGCCGCGCTGCCCCCCTAAGGGTGACATGTCTCCAGATGGTATTAAGCAATAAATGAAAGCGATCAGCGTGGACATGTTGTATCTTGTGTGGCAGCGTTTTGCCAACTTGGACAGGGCAGCGTTCAGTCGTGAAGCCTGATGTTGTAGTACAAAGGCGAGAGCCGAAGATTGAGCAGTTATTGCGTAGTGGTGCCTGCCAATTTCATTTTTATTTAGGTGTTTTCGCTTCGCCGTTGTGTTAGGAAGAGGGCTAGACCGGTTAAAGGACCGAAGAGAACATCAACACGAGAGAAGAGGTTGAAGACAGCATCGTGTCCACGCGCATATACAAACAAGGAGTCTGCTTTTATCCTTTGCTATGTTTTGTCGTTCTATGGTCTTGTCTCGTGTTTTTTTGGAAGTCAATGCTGCGACAGGGAAGCATTTGGGAGCTCTCCCCTGCCACGCAGCGGTGCTCTGCGCCGAGAGGCACTGCGTTAGCTCTCCATTGCTACGCTTCGTTTCATGGTAGTCTGATTTGGGCAGCGGAAGTAACACGGTGGAAAAATAGATGTAGAGCAGAGGAGAAGACGAATAGCTTTTGCATGTTTTTCTTTTTGTTCTCATGTTGTCGTGTCACTTCGTTCCCTCGTCTACTGCGAAGGTGCTACCAGGAAGAACGTCGCCCCCAATTCTATCTACTCTGTTGTCTTGCCTCTTAATTAGTGGAGAAGAGTTCCTTCCCGTTGAAACGGAAATTAAAGCACGAAGGGAGGCACCAACGCAACTCACTCTCGCCCTTTCTAGACCTCTCTCTATCTTTGCGCCTTGCTCTCTCTGTCTCTCTCTCTCTCTGTCTGTGTTTACTCTTCCTCTGTTTGTTCAAGTCACGGGCTCGAGTGTCATCCCTGCATTTTTTTCTTTTTGTCCATCTCTCCCTTTGCTTTTGTCTGTTTGTCCATTGAGGTCGCATGTATCTTGTTTGTATTCTGTTTCGGCAATCAGCCTTGCCCAGTTGGGTTTTGGTGGGTGGTAGGGGAAGAAGGGAACCCAGCGCATTTCTTTGCCAAGGTTTTTGTCAAGAAGCGCCCGCTTCCAAGATGGCAGTGATGATTGAGTGCTTATGAGTGCTTGGCCCTTTCGGGAAGGGCATGCATGTCCATGCATTGCGGACGTGTGGCAGGCTGTGATGGAAACGGTGTAATCAGAGGGTGGTACGACAGCAGGCAGGGTGGCACGGCAGCAGGCATGGTGGACAGTGTTGCACGCAGCTATATCGGCATTCTGCCTTTCAGGACTGGCGAGCAGCTCGAATACAGGATCAGCGCTGATTTTGTGAGTGGTGCAGCTGTGAATGATCAATCATTCCGTGGTCAAATGACGACTTCATGGAAGGAAGCTGACTTTGGCCCAACTCCACCACTGGTTGATTGAGCCAGTTGGAAGCCCAGCTTCTCATCACATCAGCTTGACAACATGTTGAGGGATATCCATGCGCGTATGGCAGGTAACCACAAGGCTGCAGTGCAGAGCAGAGCTTGGAATTCAATGTAGTGTTTCCAGTGAGTGTTTCAGGGCGCTTATACTGATCGAAGCTCGCAACCCAAGTGAATCAGGCTATGTGGAAGCTGTGGCGAAGGAGGACCTGTTGTCCGACGTGCTGATTCGCCCGACGTGGCAAGATCTAATCAGCTTGTGGGAGACAAGCGTGCTGTCGTGAGTGAGAATCGTTCGCACTCCCACAAGGGCGGCAGGCAGGACACATGGGCTTGGATGCGCCCTTGTCAGAAGAAATGAAGGAGTACGCGCAGCTACCTGCGTGGTTTGTGATGGTCTGAGTGTTTGAAGGAGAAGCAGGTTGATGATCATTTTCAATTGACCTCCTATCCTTCGAAAAACCATTTGCCCAAATCCTGGCCAAGGTTGGGCACACTTGGCATGAGCCCTTCGTGGATTTCGTGCGTCGGACAATGAAGCACGGAACGTTGCCTTCCTGCATTGCTAAATTTCCAGGAGGTGGACCTCTTCTTTACACATCGTTGCTCTTGTTGCTCAGGCTGGGAGCGGGGGACGCTTTCTGGTCCTTCGCCTTCTCGGCACGCCCGAATCTCAGTCTCGCGATCGGACGCTGGCCTTGCCATGCCGCTCAGTCCAAAAACAAGAGTCCCGCGTTTCCTCCCTGCCCTTCCCATGCGGTGCGTATTCTCACTGGTATGAGAGCAGGGTGGCATGAATGCCGCGAGATGCTCGTCGGTGGATGCTCAAGTCTGCACCTCAGCTTTCTAGAACAAACGCCAAGAACTAGCCAAGTCGATGTTAATGGCTGGTTGCAAGGTGTAGAGTGTCTTCGCACGCTCAAATCACTGAGAGCCCGGCGCCTGGACACGACAGCCCTGGCACGCAACTGCTTCACGAAGAACATTCAATCTTGCAACAAGAACTGTGTTGACGAGCGCGTTCAGGTTTCTTTAGCAGGATGCACCAAAACGAGCACTGCAGAAGACTTGCAACAAGGCCGGTTAGGTCTGACTGGGGACTGATGCACTTCAAGCAGGCGGTTTCACGCACTTGATGCTCGCCGAGATGCTGGCCCAATAACAGCCGGACAACGTATTGTAGGCTCATGGCAATGCAGAGCCATCCCTTCAAAGCAGTTGCCCTGCCTGTGTCACGGCCGTGCAGCGCGTCTCAGCATGGCGTTGATGCCTTCGGCATCTCCAAGAACTTAAGAAGACGGCCGAAATGCGAGGAGCCTCCCAGAATACGTGCTGCATTTCTCGGGATCTTCCTAGCCAGGCCGCCAGGCCAAGATTTCCGAAGCTTCATGTGTGTCAAAGCTTCTCCCACACGTTAAAGGCAACCGTTCCAACTCTCAGGAAGGGCAGATCGAAGGGCTTCTTCAGGCATGTGTACAAGGCAGTGAAAGGCGAGAGCGACATGGTCCCTTCTGGACAAGACCTCAAAAACATCAGCCTAAGCTTTGACTCGGGCGACATTCTCGGAGATGGAAGTGTCATGAAGAGCATTGTTAAAGAGGGCGTGGACCCGCCAGTATTCCCGGTCTTTGGAGACGATTGCGTGACGCACTTCGTGGGCACTCTGCCAGATGGAACAATATTCAACGACACAACAAAACGTGATCAGCCTTTCAAGTTTCGGCTTGGGGCAGAACATGTGTTGGAAGGCCTTTTGGGAACGGGGCCTGCGGCCGCAATCGGTGCGTTGCTTGTGATATGTGATACTTCTTCAACGGGAGGCTTCGACGAAGGCGTCGCGACGATGCGAAAGGGTGAGTGCTTTGGCAAGGGTTTTCTGATGCTCCGGAGACAAATTTCAGCTTTGTATTTTGTCATGGATGGCCGTAGATTCCGGATCTTCCGGCCAGCTGAGGCGTGCCATCTTTCAGCTGTCGCCAGAAGTGGCGTACGGCTCCTTTGGTGCACGGGATGAACGGGGATGGCAGGTGCCGCCAGATACTCCAGTCACTTTCGATATCCTTCTTCTGGATGTGGTCAAAGCTGCAGAAAACTCAGCGACTGCACAGGCAGGCCGCAGATAATGAACTGCATCGAGTGCGGAATCTCCAGTTCGACATGCTGTAATAATGCTTCTGTAGCGAGCGCCGCGCCGTCCAACTACAGTCTCAGGATCCCGTTCCAGGATATGGACGGGAAGACGTAGGTTCTGGTGGGGCGAGTCCAGATGGAAAGTACTCGTGGAAGCGCATCTTGTTTCCACGGATGCTGTTGCGTTTTATGTTTGGCTATAGGTTTCAGGCTCTGGCAGCCAGCAAGCCCAGTGTCAAAAGGCTGAAGCCCTCAATTTGGCGCCTGAGGGTCATATGACAAGAAGCGGCTGACATTTGCACGGCAGCAAAAGTTCAACATCTTCCCGGACACACATGACAGCCGAGGCAATGGAGCTGAGGTGCTCGTGATGGCTCCAGTGGCGGATGATATTGAGACCAAGGATGTCAGCCATGTTTTTCAAGAAGCTTATATTTGCATAGCAGTGCGCGGAGAAGCTTGTCAGAGGATATCGGTGGTCGGCTGGTCGAGGGAGCAAGTAGAAGTTGAACTTGACATGTTAGGCAGCCGAACAAAGCCGAAGCTTAGGCAACCCTGTTGGCTGGACGGCCTGGTTGCGATGTGGAAGCGGAGGAATGTTACTGGGAATTTGCCTGGGAATCTGGACAGCGGTGTTTGTGTATCCATCTTCAAAAGACGCCAGACTGTATGAGCATAGGTCCTGGGTCAGTGTAGCGTAGTTTATCGCCAAGTGTTTGCATTGCCGGGCTGCCGGGGCTATATTCAAGGAAAGGCTCACTTTCGGCGAGATGGATTCTTGGCAATGAGCCCGCAAAGTGTCGTAGCTTTGGCATGCCGCCACTACTCAAGTGTTGTGTGTAGACTCCAGGCCCGATGCACTTCTCGTTGGGACGACTTGATGGGGCTTTGTCACGAGACTTGCTCGGCGAGCTCAACTTCCTGGCCTTCATGAGTCGGTGCTACTGCCAACTGTCGACCCACAACTGCTCAATGGACTTCGTCGACACCTTACTAAGACTTATGCAGACAAAGCTCTTTGTGCGCTTTCTCGTGCCTGGCTCCGCGATGACAACCGGACACTGCAGATGACGGCATATCTCGGTGTTTCACGCAGCTGGCCAAATCAGAAGTCACTCGCTACACGGACACAACGTGTTTGCTCTCGCATGCTGTTGGTTTTGCGACAGTTGGCACTGTGCATTCGTGTTTGGGAGTTCTTCCTTACTTTTGCTGGCTTACTTCTCGTTTTCATGCAGCGGCGACCTGTGCAAGCCTTCCCTGAGTAAGCATGTTCGCTTAATCTGCTCCTTAGAACAGAGTAGGCAACCTGGACGGATGAAACACAGCAAGCACACTCGAAAGTCCAGTAAGTTCGCCTTCGGCCGGCAAACACCGTGATTGTAATCGGGAACTTCAAAATCCACGGCACAGACCCGACAACATGCTAAATCAGTTCAGATGCATGTCGAAACCCTGAGTGAGTATGTCGAAACCTTGGAACTGTTTTGTGCAGGAAATGTTCAATCAGGATGCACGATGCGAGCGAAGAGAAAAGGACAAGCAGACAAGCTTAACACTTTGTGGCCACCAGTTGGCTTGATATCGGATTGAATCTTGGGTTGGTATTTCTCCTCTAACTATTCCAGTGGTAGGGGTGCGAGATGCGCAGGCGACGGGAAGACGCATTCGGGATATCAGCCCTAAAAACTGCAAGTGAAGCTCAAAAGGAGTTGGCAGCCTTAACTTGTAGAGGAATGGGCCCGCGCAACTCAACATTCAAGCTCCTCAGGTCTTGCAAGCCTCACCCTACCCTTTTCAGTCTGCGCGTGCTTTCGGCGGTTAGCTTGTAACGGATTTATTAGATGAATCGTTTATTGGGCGCGCAGTAGACCCACCACACACACACACACACACACACAATGAAGTGCTTAATCCTTGACACTTTCAGGGGTGCCTTTTCTGCATCAGCTCAGTACGCTGGACCTGCAGATGCCTTGGTCCCAGTGCATGTATGTGAGAATGTGATTTGCGTTTGCTTGCACATACTTTCCTGGCCGCCCAGATGTGGCAGTCCCAAGCTTATGGAAGCGCGGCCTTTCGGGCAGGCCCACGAAACCCTGCCAAGTGTGGTGAGATGTGCATGTTTGGAAGTCGCGCAAAACTTTCCGGAATATTAGGCTGGGTGTTCAGTCCCACCATCAGAACAGCTATGATTTCTTGATGGAGCCGACAGGGGATTTCTGCACTTCGTGCGCTGACTGGCCTCCGTTTGGGATTCAGCAGCTGTCCATCACTTCTATCGGTTTGGCTCCCAGGGAAGCTACCACTCAAGCTGCTTTTGCATGTGCTCGGGTTTCGAATGCAAGTGGACACAGCGCAGACTTTCAGCACATTGACCAAGCTGTCGCTCGTGCATACTGCCGTCTCGGCACAAGCCTCGACTACTGTCATCGCAAAAGATGACATGAGCTTGCGCCCTGAACTAGCAGTACTTTGGCATCTAGCCATTTGTGCAGACCTTGTTTACGCCATGGTGCTGTGATTAAGTTGCCTTGCTGGAAGACGCCATGCCACATCAATATGTCTGGTCTCCTGAGATCGTTCGACAATTGGAGAACAAAGCTTACTCTACACGTGCTCGTGGCGAACAGTATTCGTCATTAGCACTGGAAAATGCTCGCTTAATAAAGTCGGGAGGATTTGGACTCCATGACGGAGGCCGCAGCGTCCATGTTGCTGTGTCCTCCAGCATTTGAACACCATGGCCCGGCATGGCAAATTCGTCAGGCAGACAGGCGCTGCCACGTCTTCCTACTGAAGAGGTGTGCCTTTGCACCCCGGAGGTTGGCCAGCGAATGGATGAGTGTGCACAATTCTCGGTTCCGCATGCACCTTTTGACTGAGTGCCGTCAGACTCCTCGCATCGGTCAAGCAAGGCACGGCAGTGGTTTCCAGAAACGAAGCTCGCAGTGGCAAACGTTGACACTGTCACAGCTTGCCTGGCACTGACCAACGCATGTGCTCTAAACTTTGCAAATGCGGTACATCCAGGACTGCAGTTACAAGTTTGCAATGCCACAGACGTTTATCATGTCCTCCTCAGCAGCAATGAGGAGGAGGCTACCTGCATGGAGCTCGGGCACAAGCGTCTTGACGGATGTTTTGCATTGCTTTCTCGACGACTCTAAGTATATACTTAGTACCTACTTTGGGGTCTACATACTATAATAAACTGTACCTGCTTTCGGCTATTGGGAGTCTTGGGGTTTAGGACTTAAAACTTTGGGTTGGCCGGGGGGAGGGGTAGATTTTGTGAATTGTTTTCGAAAGCAAAGGTGGCATTTCCATGCACAGCTGTTCGGGGTGTCCCCCGTCCACTACTGCCCTTGCGAGGGCATAGGAACCTATCAGAACACAAATCGGGTCCCGATGCATGAGTTCGTTTGTATTTCGAAACAATGCCAAAATTGAGAGAAGGAAGAGGACCTTTGCCGATTGCTGCCACAGCTGCACCCTGCCCTGGTGGATGCCCAGGACAAGGCTGGCCGAGACTAGACCTGCAAAACACCGCACGTGACATGTAGCTGATGTTGTAAAGCCGTCATGAAAGGCACGATATTCGTTTTTTGTGCAGGGTCTGTATCCGTTGAAGCCGGATGCACCTTGACAGCACGAGAGTTGGATAAGATAGATGGGACATTGAATGGTCGCGCTTCTTTTGTAGTCGTTCTTTGTGGTTCGTATCTTCAGCACGCAAGAGATAATTTTCTGTGATTTGCACTTCCGCTTATGTCCGGCTTCTTGGCTTTCGTGCTACATGCGCCAGATCTCCTCAAGAGCTTGATGTGTGGCGGCCTCTTCGGCCGCCTCTGCGCTTCCCTTCACTGGCCTTGCGCACCCTCATTCTCGACAGCACTCTTGTGTATTGCATGGTCGGATGTTGCTCAACCGGCCGGAGAGTCTGAGCACATTCAATTTCTTAATGTTTACTTTATTCACGTCTGTGCAGAGAAGCCTCACAGTGTTTCAGTGGTGAATGAGTATGAACATGCTAATAGACTAGGGACCAGAAGTGTCATCGTTGGGCAAGCTCTCAGGGAACACAAGCATTCAGGCAGTTACGGAGAATGAAAGCGCTAACAAGCAATCGTTGATCAGCTGAAGACTGATTGCAGCATGGCTGGTGTTCCAGTGCATCTGTTTCCGAAAGTTCCAGGCAGACGATTCGGGTTTTCGATGTCATCATTATCGTTTCTCGCACTCCGCAAGCTTGTGAACAAGCCCGTGGGCAAGCCTACTGGATACTAGCTTGCCCCAGTCCTCTCTTGCTGCCCCTGATGATGTTTGCTACGAATCCAGTGGCAATGTTTGGATTTGCTCATCATGTGCTACTCGCACAAGGCCGTGCTTCTCACGCGTGACCTGCTGGCAGTTCGTGCCTGGGCTGCGCGCAGACTCCAGGTTACCGAAGCGTGCTGCAGCACAGTCATGTTGTGGCTGTCCCGATGTTTGAAAACACGGGTGTTCCAGGAGAGCCCGGCAGCTACAACCTGAGGGGTTCTTTGGGAACATGCTCCGTGCTCACTGCTGCGATGCCCAACGGCTCCTTGCCGTGTCAACCCAAGCATTCTGATGAAATTTTATGTCAACCCTTGGCTGGAAGGAAGGATTCCTGCCCATGCGCCACGGTTCGAGTTCAACTGTTCCGCACAGCAGAAATCCAAGGATGTCCCGCGCCGCGAACACCGGAGTGGACCTCCACTGTCACGACTAGAATTCGTGCGGTTCTTCATTCGGCGCATCTCGGTTGACGGTGATTGGCATGTTCGATTTGTGCGGAAATCGCTTCACTCAGAATGTTGAATGTACCGAAATCAGCAGTGCGTAGCAGTAGTCGTCGTGGTGGTGGTGGTAGTGGTCGGTAGTAGTAGTAGTAGTAGTAGTAGTAGTGGTAGTAGTAGTAGTAGTAGTAGTACAAGTAGCGGCAGCAGCAGTAGGGGTAGTAGCAGTAGCAGTAGCAGCAGTAGCAGTAGTAGTAGAAGCAGTAGTAGCAGTAGTAGTCGTACCAGCAGTAATAGTAGTAGTACTAGTAGTGGTGGTAGCGGAGTCGTAGTAGTAGTACTAGTAGTACTAGTAGTACTAGTAGTACTAGTAGTACTAGTAGTACTAGTAGTACTTGTAGTACTAGTAGTACTAGTAGTACTATAGTACTAGTAGTAGTAGTAGTAGTAGTAGTAGTAGTAGTAGTAGTAGTAGTAGTAGTAGTAGTAGTAGTAGTAGTAGTAGTAGTAGTAGTAGTACTAGTAGTACTAGTAGTACTAGTAGTACTATAGTACTATAGTACTAGTAGTAGTAGTAGTAGTAGTAGTAGTAGTAGTAGTAGTAGTAGTAGTAGTAGTAGTAGTAGTAGTAGTAGAAGTATTAGTAGAAGTAGTGGTAGTAGAAGAAGTCGTAGTATTGGTGGTGGTGGTGGTGGTGGTGGTAGTAGTAGCGTCGTAGTCGTAGTCGTGGTATTCGTACTAGTACTAATAGTACTCTAGTACTACTAGTTCTAGTACTACGAGTACTACGGCTACGACGGCGATGACGACGACCCCGACCCCGATGGCGAGAGCGACAGCGGACCGCGACCACGACCACACGCCAGGCCGGGTCGCACGTTCAAGTGAAGGCACGTTGGCTGCGAGCAAAGGGTTAGGCTGTGCTGAGCCAATCACGGCGTTGCACGCCCGGTCCACCTCCTAGGACAGGGCGAGGCGGGGTAGACAGTGCGCGGCGCCAACCCCAGCAAAGGCCGAGAGGAAGATCAGATCATCGCGGGTAGGGCGATGCTTGGCCGGGACGGTCTAGTTCCGCTCCTGCTTGCGCCGCCTTGCTTTCCCTTCTTTCCTGTGCCACCGGGGCGCTTGGGCCGTGGGGTCGGCCAGTAGGTCAGTAGGGCTCCTCGGCGTCCTTGTTCGGAGTGCCGGGCGTGGGCTTGGCCTTCAGGGCGAGGCACCAGAGTGGCCGGCCTCGGGACGCCGAAGGGATGCGTGGTCGGCCGCTAAGGCGAGTGCCCTGCACTCGCCGTGCTTCTGCTTGTGCCGTTTGTTCTGCTTCCGTAGCGAACAAGAGTCGTACTCAGCAGCATGATTAGAAGTATCACTTAGAATGGAAGCGTTGCTGAGAACACTCGTCTCAAGAGCAAGGACTGCCACAGCAAGCACAATCGTCAATCCGTGCGAATACGTAGGATCGTGATGATACTTGCTTGTTCGTCTGTCAGAGAGTCAGGCAGGTCACAGTGGTGTTTTCTCAGTTGACGTGCGTTCTGTCGGCCAAGTCAGCAGTCCGGGCATCCCAATCTTGTCCTCGGCGCCTGGGGTTGTGGAGCTTTTGGAAATCCGCCACGGGATGTGGCTGAGCGCTTCGGAATATCTTCAGTGCAGTTTTCCACTTCATGTTGTTTAGTGCGCTGGGTTAGGTGCCGGCGTCATGTTGTATGCAAGCACCATGTTAGTCGAGGTTGTTCTCCCAGCAGCTGGCCTCTGCCGACTTTCGCGGCGCTTTTGATACTGTCGTCTTTGCTATCATTGACCCGCGGGGTGATGGAAATTTGCGCCCCTTTCGAGAGGCATCCTACAGTCACGCCGTTGTACGAGTGACTAGATTGCAGACTTAGCTTTAGAACTATCCTGGAGCCAGGTGCTGCAGACACTGGGCGAACTTCCCGAGATCAAGACGTGAAATGTGCTGGCTGAGAAAACAGGCAAGCCTCGCACAAGACACACTGAGGTGTTGCTGCGATTTGCTGCTGCTGCTGCTCGTCGTGACCTGCATGCTTGTAATCTGTAGCATTGGCTTTAAGAAAGTGGCTGGAGCAATGGCGACAAGCTCTTGCGACCCGTTTGAAGAGCCGGAATGGCTCATATGCCCACTCTCTGCATCCATGCAGCTTGGCATAATAGGCGAGTAAAAAGTCATCAGATGCGGTTTGGGCTACATGTGGTGGTCGTCGTCACACAAGGGTCATCCAGAGTCGACTGCAGTTGGGCCTGGAGGGTTTTCAGCTGATGCTTGCGATTTTGATGTTGATTGGTCCCTGCCCTGCTCCAGGTTTCGGGAGCCCGTTGTCAACATGGTTGGTAACACGTATGAGAAAGCAGCCTGGCTGCACACTTCGAGAATTCTTGAGCCTCGCCTTGCAGACCTCTCACGCGACTTCCAAACTAATACCATGTGGCCAAGAACGGGCATCGATTTCAGTATCATGGTCGCAATGTGCTGCGCATACTCAGCTTCTAAGTGTTGCTGAGGACATGTACCAAAAAGCGATTCAGCATCGGTTGGTTGATCCGCTGACCAACCAACCGCTACCAGAGCCAGATGGGGGTGCCTCGGAGTAAGCTCCTGCTAGCCTGAAACAAAAATCGGATGTTGCTCAATCTTGCATACGGAAGCTTCGAGCATGGGGAACGACCTCTTCTCGGACCAGGGTCATGGGCTTGGGTAAGGTAGGGAGGATGTGGTCCAGGGTGGCCGAGGACAGGGAAAGGCCTAGAAGTAGGCGTTGTGAAAGTATGCGTAGTAGGTAAGCAAGTAAACTATAGACTTAGATGTTATGATACTGTATATTTCCGCTTTACAGTTACTGTGTAGCTGACAGTTCAGTTCTTGCTTGGGAAGTCAACGTCTTAATTACTGCTGGTTAGTTGTTAGCAACAGGCAGGGAAGCATTTGTTCGGCTGTCGGGCTATCGTCGCGGTTTGTTTAGTTCATAGTTAACTGATATTTACCTGGCTGGCTGCTTAGTATCTGCTGTTGTAGCAAAAAACAGTTGAATAGTAGCAAGCTGGTGGCTAACAACAGCGAAACAGCAGCTTCAACGTTAACGAATGCGGAGCCACGAAGTAGAGGCTTCTCGCAATCGAAGTAGAAGCCAGATCATGCCGAGATTGCACGTAGTTGGATAGATCCTCACATTGTCGGTACCCATCGGTAGCTGCAGACTGGCTAGGTTCTACAGGTGCGCGTTCGCTGAATAGCGGGGAGAGAAAGATATCCATCAGCCCTTGGTCTGCCGTTACTGGTAGCCAGTCCAAGGCTTTGTGTGATTTAGGGCTTTGGGGATTTGGGAACAGTTGGGGTTTTGGGTTTTGGGCCCGTGGTCGACCCATGCCCAGCCGTACCACCCTGGTCCAACATTCCCTCTTAGCTAGGTGAACCCAGCGACTTGAGTTGGGACTGCTCCCTGTCTGAAGGGCCGCTGCATCCTAATCGTGTGGTGCGGGCTGAAGTGGAAGCATTTCTTGCGTCCCACCCAGGCAGCTCACGGCTCACGTTGTAAAGCTGCTTCTGCTTGATGCTAATTATCGGGGTGTGAGCAGATAATGTGCCAGAGCAGGCAGCACCACTTCTCACGTGCAGGCTATGTACCGCATGGCTGGCCATCAACTCCCGCACCTGCGGCTCCTTGTGCTGCGAAGCTGGCACGCGACTTCATGGCTGACTCGTGGGACCTTGTGCAGGCAGCCAAGAGTGTTGTCAATCAGCAGCTGTGGTATTTCGGGTCCTGCACACTCGCAGGGCAATTGTCGCCCTGGGCTTTGCCTGCGGGGATGTCTTCGCATGGCATACTCGGTGGCCTTCGCTTGGCGTTCCGTCTTCTGGCAGAAGTCAGTAGAAGTCCTTCCTGCTTGTTAGCTCATGTTGACCGTTGACCTGCCTTTTACAAATATATAGTCTGTGCCCTGTCCAGTGAGTTTTTTCTGTAGTCTATGCCATGTCCAGTTGTTTGTGCTGTGCAGAGCTGTCCGCAACTCTGCCCGTGTGCAGCCGTCGAGTGTGTGAGCGCTGTCTGTGTGAACTCCACGGAGCAGCCTCCTTTGCTTTGCAAGTGCAAGGGTGTTCGCACCCGCAGGCAATCAATCAATCAATCAGTCAATCATCTTCAAATATGCAGAGCCATGTACTGTGGACACGGTAATGTGCCACGTTTAAGACAGCTTATTCATCCAGTCCGACAAGCCATCCACAAGCAAGTTGCCACTGCAAGCTTTCAACGAGCACTGTCGGTTTGTCATGCGGGGATGTTCTCGCGGTTGAGTAACCTGCAACACTGGAGGATAGCCCGGCACCTTGCAAGTTTTGGCCTCAGGTGCTGCCGGAATACGAACCCAGGACTGAACAGTCGCGAGAGATTCGGCATGTCAGCACTGTCATGGGCATCTTGTTGCAGCAGTTACTAGGGGGAGGTTAGCCTACCAGGGCAGGCAGAACATGCATTCGCTTTGTTGTCGCTCTGCGGCGTTGTGCAGACGTTAGCTACAGGAGGGGTCTGACCAGTTTTGGCAAAGGTATGGCTGCGGGGCTATCGGCAGGCCGCATTGGGTGGGGCCTGGCCATTCGACTGGTTCGTGCGCTGTCAGGGATATGCCCACTGAGCCCCATCACGCTGATTGAGAATCCTCACCATGGCTTCAAAGCTTGGCTACGTGCTCTTTACCGGCTCACTTGTCCAATGCCTTTGAACTGGGGACCTGTTGTCGGCGGAGAGCTTTTGTTGGGCCGCTTTTGGATCTTACGATTTCTGATAAAGGAGGCCGTCTGGGCCAAGCTGCCGAATTCCATTTTCTACGCTGCCAAGTTGTGCAGAGAGGATATCTCCCACGGCCTTGTTCAGCCTCTCGTTGGACATGCTCTGATCATGACACCGCTTGCGATCTTTGCGTGCGGTCACTTCGTGGCAGTCTTAGTTGCAGATGAAAGTTGGCAGCATGCTTTCAGACTGCGCTCTGAAATCGTGGTTCCTGGCCGAAACTGTTGGGTGAACTGGGAGCTGAGGTGGTAGCTGGTCGAGAGATTGGGTGGAAGTCTGCCACGAAGCACATGGATGAGTTGGGGCAGGACGGCCATGGCATGCCATCACTTCAGAGCACAATAAAGCAACTTCTAAGAGCGCAGTTGCAAGATTGGACGTCGAAGTGGGCATGCAGGATCTGGAATCAAGGCGTTTTGCTTTGTTGAGCAGTATCTCTGCCGCTGTGGCGGGCAATGCTCGTGTGGTGTCGCTTCTCGGTGCCTTTGCACGGTCGTTCCTTTAAGCTGTCGGGATGTGAAAGTCTCGGCCACGGGATTGTTTTAGATGCACTTCGATTCTTTCTTTCGGAGAAGAGAGCTTGAGCAGCGCAGCAAAGTCCGAGGTGCTTTGTATGGTGTATCAGCGTTGGTCATCCATGCAGTCCTGCTGAGCATCCGCAACATGGTTGCCATGCAGGGATGTTTTGCCAGCTGCGAATACATTAGGTCACTATCGCTGTGGTCAAAGCATGTGAAAGCCCGTCCTTGCAGGAAGCACCCAGCTGGCCGTACACCTGAGAAAGGCAAGGTTGGAGTGGAACGTGTAAAGATGTTTTTACCTGGCAAAGCTGGGTCCAAAAATGTGAAAATTCTCACAGAAGCTTGAGTGGTCGAGGTGACTGCCAAAGATTTGCACGTCGCACTCTCTTCATTCTAGCGAAGATTGCAGATAGGGGATTTGGGATTTCGTATTGCTAGAGGCTCGTCACGATTGACGAGAAGATGTGAGCGGGTCCGTGAGTTTCCCAACTCCCAAAACCTTTGCAAGGCGCCTGCTGGATGCAAGGCCCTAACAGCAGCTTTCCGGATCTGTGGCTGGCACTCAGCCAAGATCGGGGTTTCAGCTGGGTTGCATGCAAACCCTTAGAGCATGCCTAGCATGAGCATATTTGGCCATGCAGGTGCCAGCACAGCGTGAAAAAGTTTTTCAGGAATAGAACATAGAAGGTGGCAGATGATGATGGCAAACGGTTTGTTGGAATGAGAGAGCAAGCGCGGCTAAGGCAGACAGTCTTTGCCGCAGTCTCTGCGGTCTCGGGAATCAGCTCGTTGTCCTCAGCCTCAGGACGTCGGTGGCATCTCAGTGCAGTTGCTCGAGCTGTCTTTCTGGGTTTCAGTGCCATTAACCCCATCCTGCGGCCGCGCATGGCCTTAGCCAAACTCTGGCTTGCTCTGAAGCCCAAGGCTCTCGAGTTGAAGTTTGCAGAGTGCAGCGACCTACAGCATCTGGGAGGCTGCGTGGACGTATTGGGGCGCACCTCCACCCGCTCGAAAGATGCAGCTTGAGCGACGGCAGCCTGCAAAGTGCAAGCAGGGAGGTGATCCTTTGCAAGCTGCCACCAGGTGGAAGCAGCTCCGCAGAGTGCCCAGGCGCTGGCCGACGGCGGGTGCATAAATATGGAAAACATCTGTGAAATTTTCATGAGGCCACAACTGAAATCAATCTTTAAACTGTCTAGCAGCTCTTCATGGCCTGGGCCCGCACGTTCCCCACCGGACTTGGCAATTTCTTGGCATCGGCTAGACGGCATAGCTGTGCTCAAAGAAGATTCCCGATTATAGCAGGCGGATGCTGTCTGCCGGGCCTACACGCCTTAAGAGAGCTGAAGGCGGAGTGCTTAAAGTTGGGAAACTTGAGTGTGCGGCAGCAGTGGGCCGATCTTAGATCTTGGCCGTCAGAGGGTTGGTTTCAGCTTGTTGGCTGAAAACAAGGCTCTTCCTCATGTGCCGCCACGTGAGAGCTGGATTTCCGTGTCCTCAATTGGGTTCTGTCACCGACGAGGTGGACACAACTGCTTGCAGCAGTCGCAATCTCAGGGCTCAGAGAAGAAGGCGGAAATGATTCAGCAAGTCTCTGGAATGCGCTCAAAATCAGCAAGCTGCCTAGGCTTGGCCTCTGTGGACCTCCTTTCCGAGGAAATGCAGGCTGCACTTAGTCAGAGTGGACGGGTGGACTTCGGTCTGAGGCAGCTGTATTTTGTTTTTCGATAGTAAGTAAGTCTAATTAAGTGCGATGATATGCCTCAAGATTCGCAGGCGTTGACCAGCGTGCAGCTATGCTTTGCCGATTGCACGATGCTCACCTCCCTTGAAGAACTGACGAGGCCATACCTGCTAGAGCTTCGACAAGATCGATTTGTTCATGTCGCTTTTGTTGCTGCGGTCGATCGAGGCCTTTGAAGGCGATGACGGAAGTCTCGGCAGGTGTCTGAGCCCCCCTTCTTGAAAACAGAGGCTGACATAGACCGTAGATTCGGTAAACCTTCCCAGTACCACTAGTCACCAGTATGTACTGCCAAGAGAGTCTTTCAGATTCATCTTTGAGGTCTTCGAGCTTTGCTTGGCCGGCTGTGTGTCTCTCAGGATTGTGCCGCAAGGTGAGCAGCGCGTAATCTCAGCTGTGCGGTTCCGCAGGACCTTGGGGCAGCTCGGTGCACATCTGCGAAACTTGCCAGCGGAGTTCTAAGTCTAAGTTGAGACTTGTACGGACAGTGTCACCATCTTTCTGAACTGCTGTTTCCCGTCGGAGGCGCTGTCGAAGTTGCGACTGAATTTGCTTCGGCCTCATTGCCTCTTACAGTCTGAGGTTGTGACTCTGAAGGTTGTTGTCGGTCCTGGCATCCTGGGGCTTTCGGTACCTGTCAGTGCTCCGTTCACCTTCACCAGCTAGTTTGATCGCAGGTCTTCATGTGTGTCTCTCGACAGCGAGGCCTATTGCAGTGTCCACAGGGGGGAATGCACTGTTCACCTGGAACAACCAGCCTAGGTCATCAGAATCCCTGCAGGCTAGCAACGACCTATGCAGTACCTTGACAGGTCGACACCTTTCATGAGGAGATAGAGCTCTGAGAATTGTGGTGATGGAATCGGTTGTTGCGAAGCGCATCGGTCCACGCCACGACATTCTCCGGAGTGTTGGTCGAAGGGTTTTTGAAGAAAACTAGGTTTTGAAGCGCACACTAATGTCCTCTATGTCCTTGCGACGACATGGCGAAGGTATCCGCTAGTTTGCAGCGATGTTGGGGAGAGCTTCCCAGTGCCAGATGCTGAGATTCAAGAGTCGCGTTAGTCACAACAGTTTGTCCTTTTCATGGTCAGCAGCGATGGGAACGCCTTCTCAAGGATGTGGACGTTTGGGTCATCGCGTCTTCCAGCCTCGTGCCAAGCAGCAGTTGATGAGCGTACTAAGAAATTTGAGCAGCGAAGGGGGCAGGCTAGTGACAGCTGGTGTTTTGGGTGGCTGTCGTAGTTCTAGTTCTTCAGGTTGTTCCAGCGGGGTTTTTGAGCAGGGCATGGGAGATCAGTCATCAGAGCTGAGCCTCGGTGTTGCTCAAACATTCAGGCGATTGCACAAGTCCTGATGCAAGTGGTTTTCATTCTCGTGTTTTGCTTCGCTGAGATTTTTGTAGCGTTTGCGGGCTTAAGGCACGGCACTTCTTTCAAGTTTGCGGCGGGTGCTGCTGACTTACGGGATCTCAACTTTTCTAGGAGGGCCGCTGGCTTAGGCGCAGCACGTTTAAGAAACGGTCAGCCTATGTGCCTGCCAAGCGCCAGCTCGCGAAGCATTCAATTGAAGATTTGGTGTTGTTGTTGCTGCTGCTGCTGGTGTTGTTGTTGCTGTTGTGCACAGGAATGGTTGGTTGGGAAGGGGCCTGTGCATACGTAATCACTCATGGCATTGGCAGCCACTGTGCTCAATGCCATCATTTGAATTTTGATGGTGGGGCGCCATGGCCCTCTCGCCCGTCGTTCAGGCAGTGCTGAGCACCGTGGCTTGTGAATTGCTGGCTATTCTGCGGATCGAGGATGACAGACCTTGCGAATTGTTTTGCTGATCATTTCTCGCTGCTGGAGATTACAGCTGACCCGAAGCTCCTGAGGCAAATCACAAACGCCTGGGATCTAGCCAGATTCAAGAGAGGGTCCGTGAGGAACATCAGGCCGTGACCGCGCCGCCAACGAAGAAGCCCCGCGAACAAGTCGCTAGACAACCTGTGTTGCTCGGAGCGCGTCCTAAGGCCAGGCTGTTTCCGCCCGGTGCTCGCAGGACCAAGAGTTACAGTCAAGCCGTGACAACCCCCCGAAATCGAAGCGCCGAGCTTCATGCTTGCAGGCCAAGTTTCAGATTGCTATTCTGTGTGGGTCTGCCAGTCGTTGAAAGATGACCGAATGATTAGCCATAGAGCTGCCATGAGACGCTGGGAACATGCTCCAGTAGATCAGCCATTCTGGCGGCCTTCGGCAGTGACCCCGTCTTCGTATTTGCAGGAGATCGGCAAGAATGGACCCACAGCTGCTTCAGGTGCGTTCGCGGCGCTTAACTGGTGGCGAAGACATGTTGGAGTGCCATTTCCTTTGCAGGATGCGCTTGTGAGTCATTGGGCGTCGGCGGCTCAAGGCCATGGGGTCCAGCCTCGGGAACCATTGCCATTGCGCATCATGCTTTCCCTTTGTAAGGCGGGTAGTACGGCCAGTGGTACCATCGGATCCTTCATTGGTCATGCCCTGCTTGCACTTGTGGCATGCCTGCGGTTCCGCCACTTGCCGCGCTCTCATAACTTGCGTGCTGCAGCTTCTTAAGAGCACCCTGTCGTAAAAGGAAAGCGATGGACTTATCAAACTCACCCCCCCTTTGACTGGGCTTGCCCTGCCGTCCTGCCGTTCGGCGTGAGACTCGCAGAGCAGATTATGTTGGACTTGTCTGAGGTTACTCGTACTCTCGGGCGCGAGCCCGACTCTTGTCCATGATTACGATGTACCGAAAGGATCGCCACTTGCAGCATCGTCTGAGAGGCGCTTGGCCGGGATGGAGTTGCTGCGGTTCTCGGATTTTCTTCGTGCCATCTTCATTGCACCAGCAGAAGTCAGAGCCTTCTCATCATACAGCCTGCGTAGATTCTTGCCGCTTGCCTACAGCAGCTGACGTCTTGCGGCTGCCCGAAGAACGCAGGCTGGCCATCGGAAATTGGCAGGAGCGCCCTACTGCGGGCCCAGATCACAATGTCGCCATCTTCATGGTGGCGAGCAGGGTATCATTTAAGCTCACCTGGGATGATTCTCAATTCTCGCCAACACGGTTCGAACCAGGACTCTATCACTCGGAACTTCGGCGAGACGTGTGCCACCCGGCTACCCCGGATCTGCTTCAGTGGGACCGAAGGTGGCCGCAGGTGAGTCCCCGCAAGCATCGGCCAGCACCTCGTCCGGTGAGTCTGAGAGTAGTGATGACCAGGCTTGGCTTGCGTACAGCCACTCACCTTGACGGCCAGGGCATCTGTAAGCCCCATAACGATCACAGAGGGTGTGCTGGAGGATGTGGAAAGTTGAGTGTTTGCATCATCATTTTGCCTGACGGTTTGCGGATCCAAGCGGCACAATCGCATGACATGCCCACATCGCTCCAAGCAGCAGCAGCGCCAGGGGCCAGGCCGCCCAGAGAGTCCGCGTCCAGACCCTCTGGGTGAGGCCGTTGATCAACCAACGGAGCCGAGTGTCGTTGTTGCTGAGATGATGCACCTCCCTGAACTCAGGGTTTCATTTTCTGATCCACGAGAGTCTTGACAGTGCTCGTGTGATCGTTGCAGCGTCACCTGCTCGCCAAATTGCCACAGTCCAGTCTGAGCCCGAACGACCACCGTTGAGACCCAGATTTTCCTTCTCTCGTGAGTGTGCGCAAATGTAGCAGGAAGCCTTTCAGGAACCAGTCGACACCAGTCGGCAGTCTGTCCTCTGCAAGGATCCCCGTCAGTGTTATTTCGTTTTGGAATTTTTTAGCAAGACGCCAAGGCATCATAAACCGCTCAAACAGCTGGAATGCAACCCTAGCCCTGGGAAACTTTCTGGCCATGGTGCTGATTGGCTAGCTCTCCCAGATGGGGCCGTCACGCTTCTCCTTTAGGAATCAGGTTGTAGTCTTCAGGCCCATTGTGGCATCACGCCACAATTCATTGCAAGGGTGATAGATGGACTGTCACGTGCTACGCGCAGGTACACTCTGCAACCTCCGCAAGATGGAGGAGACTCGAGGCTCTGGGCTTCCCGCTCCCGTCCAGCACTCACTGCTGCCGAGACGTGTGATGTCATCACACCCTGAGCCGCACGGTCCTGACAGATCCCTTCGCCCAGCAGCCACCAAACGGAAAGCTGTCATTGATGTTGCTGCCAGTGTCTCGTCAGTCGAAGCTGAAGGGCCCTGCCGAGTGACTGCAGGTGGCCAACAATCGCCTCAGAACAGCGATCCTTCAAACCCAGTCAGGTTCGTGACTTACAAAGGAGCGTCCCCCTTACCGCAGCTGCCGTGGTCCGGCCCGATCCTGGTCCTCAGCGTGTTTGACGGGCTGGGTGCATTGCTGATTTCCTTGCTGGCCCTCGGTGCCACCTTTGCAACCATGTGCTGGGGGATGGATCCGGGTGCGGTGCATGTGACCAGACATTCCTTCCGTCATGTGCAGCATATGGGCGACGTGAATGAATTTCATCCTGGTCAGGTGGAGGCCCAGCTTGCTCACCGACACTTTACCGTCATCTTAGTGGCAGGAGGTTCCCCTTGCCAGGATGTTAGTTCCTTGAAAGCTCGTCCAGACGTCAGCCGAACGGAGCGCAGAGAATGTCGCGGGCTGTGGCCTCAGTTTTTGCAGCAGGCTTCCAACAGCATGCATGGTCCACCGCTGCAAACTTCGGCAGCTTCCTTTGGCTGGACATGTCGCAAACGCAACTTCTGGTGTCCCAACGGACTCGTTTTTGCCCAAGCCCTGGAGAGCCCCTAAGCTTCCGCCTAACATTCAGGCAGCGCCCGCCAAGTCAGGATGCCGGTTGCGCTGGCAGGCCAAGAAGGCATGGCCGATGCAAGTTTCATTTGCCGATGACTTTCAACCTCAGTTTGATGCCAGTGCCAACGCCAAGAGCACGGTGGACGGTGCGTGTTTTCCCGTCTTCACGCGAGCCTTTACGCATCCAGCTGACCGAGGTCCACAAAATGATGCAGGCGCGGTCTTTCGTTTTCGCGAAGACCAGATGCAACACCCCTTGTTCAATTACGTTCGAGAGTCCTTGTTGTGGAAGGGTGAACAGTGGCGGGTACACGGCGCCTCCGAGAGGGCTCAGATGATGGGAATCCCCGCCGTCCATTCTTATGTGGGCACCGAAACATCATAAGTCTGATAGACAAGATCGCAAGGCTGAACAGATCTGCAGCTCGCTGGTTGGCAATGCCTTTAATGTCCCGTCGTGCCTGCTGCCATCCTCATGCTGTTCCAGCTATGCCTTCAGGTCAGCCATCCCACCAGCAGCATATGTAGGACTTCAGAAACACGTGCGCATGCGTGCAGCGGATACAGCGTGGCAGCCTGGAGTTGTGGAGTCATACCCGGGGGTCATTCGGTGGGCTGATTTTTGACTCGTAGGTCCGTGGCACTCTCTGGTGTAGTCCTGCCCACTCTGTGCCCTAGTTCGGGTTTAGATCTCGCACTGGCGCGGTTGCAAATTTATTGGCTTGATGTGCAACTTCGGCATCTGCCTGCAGAAAATCAGGGACCAGAATGGCGGCAACAGTGCAATGTGGCAGCATCCACCAGGCTGTTGGCTTGCACGGCGCAGGCCACAATGCAAGGACTTCCGCACCACCGCTGCTTCCTCCGGGTCTGGGGAAGTCCACGCACATGGGATGATGATTCGAGTTGGCGTGCAGAGGCATGCGTGCGTGTGTGCTAGGGCCGTGCATCCGAGTGTGGAGACAACATCAACTCAGAGCACTCAAACGAGTTGCAAAGTTCATCGAGCCGTGGGATCACGCAATGCAAGCCGCAATGCATCCAGATGTTTCTGCTGTGGCCAAGGATCGCAAGCCGGCTCTCATCACGTTGATGGCCCACCTCATGCGATGGCCAGATACAACACTCGGCTTAAGGTTTTTCACGGGGTTCAAGTTGTTGGGAGTCATTGGGAGTCCGGGCATTTGCCGTGAATTGCATGAGGACGGCCTTCAACAGCTCGGGCTTCAAGCTCTCCTCGGCGAACATGCCAAGCGCATCGCTGCCAGTGTTGAGCTGTGCCTGCCGCGATTCCCGTATGCGGCAGAAGCCAAGGGGTTCACTCTCGAGGAAGAGCTTGATTCATTGTTGGTGCGGGGCAATCAATGGCCTCAATGCGTCGGTTCATGTTGGCACAGCTGAACAAACTCAGAGCCATCGATGACGGGCGCTTCAGCGGGCACAACAAGTCATGCTTTCCTGGAGAGACCTTATACACCACAAGCCCAGATGTTATAGCCGCAACTTGCAAAGCCAGCAACAAACTTCTGAGAGATGGCGAAGGATTTATGCCCGCGCGGGCAGAGCCGCACTTCGGAACTGAGGATATGAAAGCTGCTTATCGTCAGTTACCGAAGACCCGTCCGCAAGGCAGGCCTCTTTGTTGCATATTTTGACCTTGAGGCCCAGGAAGTTCGCTACGTGCATCTGCGAGCTCACCCATTTGGCCTGTCGACAGCAGTCCTAAACTTCAATCGAGTACCGTGTTTCTCGGCCGCCGTCCTCAGGCGTGTGGCGGCTGTTGCAACCAGTAACTATTTTGATGATTTTGGAGTGCTTGATTTTGCGGCATTTCATTCTAATGCGAAGCCCACAGTCTCTTGGGTTTGATTTTGGATGAAGGTAAAGAGGGACCCATGTCATCCTAAAAGGCACTTCCTCGGGATTCTGCTTGATCTCGCAGCGGTGCTTGATGAACAAATCCTTGAAATCAATCTCAAAGTAGGGCTCCGTGAAACCTGCACGGCCGCTGAAGCTGCCAAACTTAGGGGGGCGCCTCACATGGGCGGCTTGTGGCATGTTCGGAAAATGCGGAAGAGCAGGCCAGGCAGCCCTGCGTCAACGTCAGTACCGAGACGATGTGACCAGCATTTCGTTTGAACTCGCCAAATCTTTGAGGTTTTACAAAACCCTGGTTCAAGTGGTCGAGCCCAGATCTTCCTGGGATCGAGCCCCCAATAGCCAATTGTCTTCTACACAGATGCCAGTTGGGAAGCTCGGAAGATGCAGGCCCTGGGATTGGGATACATCATGTGCCACCCCGACTTGGAGTCCAGCCAAGCTGGAGCAGCGAAAGTACCCGATGAAGTTCTCGAATGCCCCGAGGACAGACAGACGCAGATCATGCCGCTGGAAGCGTTGGCCATTCAGTGCTTCTCAGTCTTTGCAGACCAACCCATCCGCGGGAGAGACTTACTGTTGTTTGTGGATAACCAATCCGTCTGCGGAGCGGTTGCTAAGGGAGCGTGCTCAAGTGCTGACACCTCTTGTGGGCTAAGCTTGGATGACGCCATTGGATAGAGTGGGTACCGTCGGATGAAAATCTATGGCCTCTCTCGTGCTGGACTTCAAGATCGCTAGACACGGTTGCAGAGCTGGCGCCTGAAGGAGCACCCGTGCCTCCCGTGGCAAGACTTCAGTTATTCAGATCTAGTGCTTTTGTCTGATGCCCTTTTGTATTGGAATCAAGCATTGGATGCGTGCGAAGGTGGATTGGGCTTTGAACCTTTTGACGATGTACATATGGTACAGGCCCGCTGAAAACCAACGACATGCAGGGCCGTCTTCGAGTGAGGATCCGAAGGAAAGACAGAAGCGCGATGCCCTTCTTCCTTTTGAGTTCGATGATTATGATGATGCGCAGGAATGGTTGGTTGGGAAGGGACCTGTGCACATGTAATCATGTATGGCATTGGCAGCCACTCTGCTCAATGCCATTGTCTGCATTTTGACCCGCCTCCACTCAGGGATGTGTCCGAAGGTGGATTGGAAGGTGGATTGGGCTCTGAACCTTTTGACGATGTACATATGGTCATATGGTACAGGCCCGCTGAAATCCAACGACATGCAGGGCCGTCTTCGAGCAGTGAAGATCCGAATGAAAAGAGAGAAAGGCGATGCATTCCTCTTTTTAAATTCGATGATTACTGTTGGATCCAAACTTGCAAAAGTCGAGCAGTTCATTGTAGCTGGTCATTGTCTCAGTGGCGGCAACTCAGGCGATGGTTCAAGTTCGAGCCGCCTACCGCTCTGATGACGCAGCTCCGTGCATGTCACTTATGCTCAGATCATCCCAGCTGTACTCCCTACACCCTAAAATGAACGTGTGGTTGGGAGATCGATGTTCAATCCGACTTCAGCAGCATTTCTACGTGTTCCCGAGCCTGGGTGTTCGCGTGGTGCTAGAGCATATTAGTTACCGCGGCAGTTTTGGCAGAATGGCCCTCTCACGTTCTGCAATGAGATTTATCGGCAACTTCAGAAGATATGGTAGGCACGATTGTGCTAGCTGCGGATTCAATTCAATCCCGGGCAAATGCCAGGGCAGGCATTCCATTGCAGTTTTCAGAAGCCTTTTTGTGCAGAAAGTGAACATGGGACGAAGTGCGGGGATTGCAAACCCTGAAAACTGCCAGCATCAAAGATGATGCCTTGCATGCAGAAGACTGTCAATGACTTGTGCTTCCGACATAGTGTACAGTGCAGCTCGCGACCTTCGGTCAGCGACTTATGCAGCCATGTCTTCAGGCTCTCGGCTCCTTCAAGCAATGCGACTCTTTCTGGGACACGCTACTTTCGCGTGTATGCCCCAGGCACCAACATGCATGTTGTTCGGATGCCCTGCTGGAGCCCGCCATGTGTGTGGATATTGTTGCGACGGTTGCCATCTTTGCTGGCGAAGCTTCCTGTGCGCTTCAGCCTAAGGCTCACCGTTAGCTGCAAATGTATACATGCAACATTGTCCGCTTGCGTTTTCGATGTATTCCAGTTTTCCATCGGTTACCAATGCTCGTAGAGCTCAAGCAGCCGAGTCAGATGCTTCTGTGATGTTACACGCGAGCATTGTTGCCGCAATGGGCTGCATGACTACGATGCAGTCCAGCATTCCCATGGCCTCCACTTCCAGCGCTGGAGCAGGCCTTTGCTCTTGACGGGCTAGAGTACAACTGCCAGTGTAGTGGATGAGTACATCCGTTCTTCAAGGGGAAGGGTGCAGACTGCCCGGAAAGTAGATTAGTGCACTATTGCGTGCTTGCAAATGTCAAGCGGTGGTGGAACAAGTTTGTCGTGATCTTGCATGCTTTTTGTGGCTCACGGGCTTGCATCTCTAATTATCGGCTCAGCAAGCAGAGATGCCCCGGCCCTGTGTGCACCGAACGGTGGGGGGCCTCACATGGCATCGGCCCCCTCCGACGAGGTGCCGGGCATTCAAGCACCGTTTTGAGCTTCCAAGTTTGGCGTAGTGGCGGGACTCACCAAAGGCGTTGCATTTTGAAGCCTTGTTTCGTAAGTGTTTTGCCGGTGTCCTGTTGCAGTTTCAAGTTCTGGAATGCGGGTTGTGTGGGTGGCGGTTTCTTGAATGCTCAGGATGCAGAGGAGGGTGCCTTCACCATCCCAGAATACATCTTTGCAGCTCTAGCAGCCGTGGCTTGGTCCGTACTATCGGAGTTTGATTGAGGCCAGCAAGGGCCGGGTGTGATCAATGCAGACGTGGCTCTGAGGAAGAACGGCTGAAACCGTATCTTGCCGACGTTGCAAAGGACAAGGGCCAAGGGTTTCTTCGTCCCATTGCCCGAAGACCCCAAGATCCCCTAATCCTGCAGAATCGCACTCCCTTTCGAAGTGATTGGAAGCGGTGCCTGTGTCTTGGACATAAGCCAATCGCACACAAACACATCAAGACGAAACCAAATCCCGTCTGAACTTGGCCAGACCTCTGATGCATCGGTTGAGCCTGCGCCGGCATAGTCAGCACTGCAAGGGACTGCGAGGTCAGTGGCATCTCCTGCTACTCGAGGCCTAGAAGCTCAACTCTCCTGTGAGCAGGATGACATCCTCGCGGAGCTGCAGCTCCTCACGGAGGAAGCAGGTGAAGATGCTTGCACACAGTGGCACCTAGGCTTGCATCAATGCCGGTTTTCTGTCAGAGCCAGTTTGAAGGAGAGTTGTTTGCCACTCCGTCACACCGCTGTTTTGAGGTCCGATGGTGCAAACGTCTTGAGTGACGCCACGATTGCCGGGATCGTGGATCTCGTCGTTACGTTGACAGAGAGGCTTGGTGTTTGGAAGCAGCATTTTGTTCTTCATTTGTCGTCGCAGATACGATGCACATGATTGAGCCTGACAGAAGGTGTGCGGGTAGATGGCCCTTCAGCACTTCATGGTTAGAATGTCTGAGGGACTCAAATGCCAGCGCGGCAGATGTCCTCAAGGAGGCCGTGTCATTGCTCCGCACTGACCTGCTGGAGGAGCATGTCAGAGCAACATATCGGCAGTCAACTGCTCATGTTGAGTTTAGTGGCCAATCAGTGTCTTGGTTTCAGTTCCGTCATGGACCAGAAGTGTCAGCGGCAGAATCGATGGTTACCACCCAAAACTGTTTGCGCGCATCTTGTGAATTTTGGATTGCTGCAAGCGCGGAGATTGAGCCGGCAGGACGAGCGCATTCAGCAGCTTCTTTCTGACATTCAGGGTGTCCAAGCGGGCGGCTTGACTCGCTGCAATGCTCTGGGTTTACTTGTAAGTACCCAACGAAACAACTATGAGTGCGACACAGATAGCTAGCATCAATCGATTGGGCCTTGTCGGCCAGGTTTGAGTGATGCACTCTATTTGTTGGAGATGTCGTTCCAACACTACCACCGACAGACAATCCACAATGTGTGACTAATACGTTTGCGAGCTCAACCTTAAACGCGTTCTGCGAATGTGAGGTGGCCTCACGCCCAACTCTGTCGTTGGTGACGGTGTCAGTGGTGACGAGGTCGTCACAGACAGGTTGGAGCTGCTTCTAGCCACTTTCTGTTCGGAGAGTTTCAGATCGCAGCTGTAGACAACTTAGGAGTGTTTTCAGTCTCTCCGGAGAATTGCTGTGGTGGTGCGGACCCTTTGATTAACCGAGGCTTGTGATGGATGCAGAGCAGGCCGTCGTGTCGTCGTGTCTCAACACACGACGAAGCTGTGCCGTGTTGTTGCAGTCCACTGTTTGCAATCCCGGATCGGGCTTTCGCAAACACACAGAGAAGAAATGTGCGGTGACTTGCAGGCCTTAGAACTGCAAGATGCGTGGGGCATGTACATGGAGTCCTTTAGCTCGCGCGACATTGCCTGCGACACACTTTTTGCTCCTCGGCAACATCTGACAATAGAGCTGCCAGGGCTGTGGCGTGCTTGGGTGGATCCTTTGCCACATCTACTTAGCATAAGAGATCCTGAGAGGCACAAGGCAGTGTTGGACACAGCTATGTCACTGCTCTATCTATCTCTCTCTCTCTCTCGGCACTCCTGGTCTCCACCACCTGGCTTGTTAGCTGCTTTGCGTTGGTTAACATGACTTGTAGACCGTGTGCAGTGCAAGCTGGATTCTGTCGCCAGATGTATCATTGGCACATGTTTCGTATCTGAGCATGTTTGACTCAAGCACGTGGTGGACCAGGCTGCCTTCTATGATGCCGCTCCATCCCTTCATTATTTGTTCAAAACCTCACGCGCGGTTATATCTGGCAGGCCCGATCCATGGGTTAGGTTTGTCAGCTTCAAGGGCAGCCGACTCCGTATGGGCACCAGGGCAAATCAAAATTCGCGCGTTGTTCTGGCATCTTGCTGGAGTTCTTGCCAGGTTCGCTGGAGGCCTTGAGAGCATTGTGATGGCCTTGCCGAATGGCAAGGAAGTCAAAGCCCTGGTAGAACTTCTAGGCCAGGCACCGCCACGGATCATGTGAAGTCCTCAAGACAGATGGTTGCTGATTTCCTGGAGCAGAGTCGTGACGAACTCCTGTGCAGGTTTCAAGCACCTCGAACTTGAGGTGACGTCGCCGCGAATAGCGGTTGTCAGAGAAGCCTTGTTGGAAGCCTTCACTGCGGAGCATCTTCGGCAGCAGTCAGATTTGGCACTTCTTAGCTATGCCTCGATGAACAGCAAGGATTGGAAAGGCGAGCGGGTGAAGTAGGACATCCCTGTAGGTCTGTTGCAGACACTTGGTTTCGCATTCTGCACCGGAGCCTTTCTTCTCCATCTGTGTTGCTGAAACAGCATTCGGTTGCGGACCAGTGGCATTCAGAACAGGAACCTGCGTGTTCTACAACCCGATCAGTTTGGAATGACATGAACCGAGTTTGTAGCTTTCTTGCGTGATTGATCTGCTGGTCGGTGCTGAAAGATGATGTGGCGATGAACAGGACTAGGAAGCCAAACGGCTGCCTCTTTTTATCGGGCGCGGCAGTTCCCGGGTTTGCACTGATGCAGCCAGATGTTTGCTAAGGCTGGGCGATCGCTTCACGACCCTTGCTTATGAAGGCTTGCGTAAGACTTTGAACTATGCCGGTGGTGGATGCATCTATCTTCGTGAAACATTCGCGGCAGCTTGGCGGCAGTTCCTTATAGAAGCAAGTGCAGTTCGTTTGTGTAGTGAGTGCAGAACGAATTGGTCGAAGAGACGTCGTCGAGTGAACGCTGCTAGCTCATTTGCTCATGTCGACCGGAGGAAAGGCTGCAAATTCTGGCCTCGAGCTGGAAAACCGCCAGTGCTAATGGGGAAGTCCAGGATGACGATTGGGATGAGGATATTGCACAAGCAGACTCTGAGACTCGGAGTGAACGGGCACCTTAATTGTATGTACCGTAGTTTGATCCGAGGAGCCGTTCACAGCAGGATTTGGTGCTTGTTCGCAGCACATCCGTGTTTCGCTCGGCTTAGGCGCGGGGATCTGGTTCCCAAACGGTGTCGCAGACGGAGTCCCACACGGTATCACAGGATAAGGCATCGCAGTCGATGGCGGAGGTCCAGCCTCCTGCAGAGGAGGAAGCCAAGCGTGAGGTCCCGAACAAGATCAGCATGCAGGGTGTTGCTAGACCAGACTCAGAAAAGCATGCTGACTCGTTCTGGTTGTCGCGCATCATCCCGTTTTGCGCTTGTTTGACGTGAGAGGTTCCGACGAGCTTCGACGACATGTTCCGCTTCAATGCTGCTGTCATGGGCATGGCTGACAGAGAGTGGATGTATGAGGTTTTGGACTGCTTTGACGCCATCGTACGGAATGTTGCGAACTCTTTCCGATTACAGGAGAGGGGTTTATGCAGCTTTTTTTACGTGGCACAGCGTGTTCAAGACTTTACTCGTAACTGCTTGCAAGTTGCAGGAAGAATGCGATGTACTTTCCTTGCGATTTGCCAAGTTGCCAGGCTCGGACATCCGTGGCATTTGTTCTGTTCCGAGATATGCTTGGGTCACTGGAAAGTCCCCTCGGTTCAATTGTAATCGTTTGCTTGTGTTCATGTTTGGCATTCGGATCAGGCGGTGCCTTTCAGATCACTTCGGGAATTCCCCAAGAGTCTACATCTCAATTCTTTTATCACAGTAGCCGTTTGAAGGCCTTCACAATTTCGAGCATCGAAATGAGCATCCAGACTGGTGGTTGTTTTCCAAGTCTGGACTGTGTCGACGGTCAGCGAAGGAGACTGTTCTCACGCGGTCCTCCCAATAACTTTAGGCCTTGGACAACACGCGAAAGTCCAGCATAAAACAGAGGACCATAATACTAGACCCTGGAAGGTGTCGTCATCCTTACGGAGTTCAAAGCCGTTATGCTGGCTTCCTTACGATCGCTGGTGCCGCAGGACATTCGAGATTGTTTGAGAGGGTTGGAGATGTATTTGGTGCAAATTGAAACTCGAAGCAGAACTTGTCGGGTCTTCTTTCCTTATGGGCACATTGCTGTGTCGGTTTGGCTTTCCGGACTGTGGATAGCCGCGACATTGAGGTCTGAACACGAGGCGAGGAGGGCAGCATTGCAGGGCTGCTCCTGTCAGGACTGGGACACTAAGCACGAGGAAGCTTGGGACTGGCTTTGGAGCAATGTGGAGAAGATTCTGGGCAAAGAGCTTGGCAAAGCAGCTGAGAGGGTGCCATGCCTTATGCTTTGAGCACACGTTCTTCTGCTTTGGTGCCCTGCTATAAAATCGTCTTCATGCAGCTTCCATGAGTTTACGTGTTGGGCGGGGCGAGGAACGCAGGGTATCCCGCTACGTGGGATCTATGGAAGATGAGACAAAGATCGTGCTCAGTCGCAAAATCTATGCAAAGTTCTTTGCAGTGGTGACTTGCCACATTCAATCGGCTGGTTTTTCGCAAAGGTTATGTTCACTCACAAATTCCCAGCCGCAACTTCTTGTCTGTGCCTGTCTGCAGTGTCCAAGGCTCCAGAGGGGCAGAACTACTTCAAGCAATCCTCTACGAGGCTACAGTTCATCATTGACAGAGTCGTTGAGATGACCTTGTCCATGTACCAAGTTCCTTGCCGACTCTCGGTACTTGTCCATTGCTGGCGCCAGAGCTCGTGTCCGTCCGCCTTGCGTAATATTCACTGGTAGCAGTTAGCTCAGGAATGGTGGATGAAATTTCAGCGCTTGGGTTGCGCCATGCTGGCTGGCTCAATAGTACATCCGGCTGACGTCAGGGAGTCAGGGGGAAGGATGCTTGGGGTGTGGAGTTTCTTTGGCAGTATTGATTACATCCTCTTGGCAAAAATCTTCCTTCGCTAAAGACCACAGCCCCGCCCGTGAGTTGCAGTCGAGGTCGGCTATGGCATCCCAACAGAGTTCTTCAACCCCTTCGTGGCTTGGTGTTATTTCAACAGCGTTTTCAAGCGGAGCTTCTCCCCATTGCCCTCTGCATGCTAGGCCATCGCGGCCAGTCTGAGATACTTGTTTTCACCCAGTCCGACACTCTTGAGGTACAGTGTTGTGTGGAAGTCATGCGCGAAGTTACAAATGATGAGAAGCTGTGCGATGGCTTCGGCTGGTCACTGGGGCGCCTTGCTTGCAGTGCAGAGCCCGACCGTGTGGCTGCTTTTTATTTGACTCGCTTCATCGTGGTAGGCTACCAGCCTGCTACTGTCTGTTTTGGCATCAGCATGCATTGACCTTCTACGTCCAAAGTTTTCCAGACCTTCTATTGAGGCTGATCTCTCGGGTCCTGGTGCGAACCATCAACGAGGGCTCCACATTAGTGATGAAGGCCATCAACCTCAACTCGGCCAACATGGTCAAAAAGGCACAGTGAGAGCTTGCACACAGGGTCAGTCGCTGCGGTCGTAGCATGTCGGATCATGCCACAGCCGTGTTTCCGTGGGATCGGCGTATCGAAAGGGGAGACCGAGCTGCTGCGCAGCATTTGCACAGAAGATGGTTAATGCTGGCATCGAGTCACGCCAGTGTGTTAGCCACCCTGTCTCGTTGCCTCGTTTCCAGGCGTTGACGCCCGTCCCCAGAGCTAAGCGTGCTATGTGCATGCTAAAGATTACGGCTCCGTGGCTGCAGCGCTGTGGAACAACCCGAGCTGCAAACAGAATCCTTGACATCCTTACTTGGAACAATCAAACCCAGGTCTGGGGTTCGACAACCTCTCCAGTCCCCCGCCAGTCTTGCAGTCCGGGAAGAGCTGGCGGGGATGTCGACACATAAATCGAAGTGTGAATGAGGTCGGCACCCAATCAATTTCACCTCTGCTTTGGGCGATATCCAGTGGCAATCTGGAGGCAAGGTGGTGCGCAGTCGATTTTTGTTGGGCATTTGTCGCATTTCATTTGTTTAGTTGCAGGAGCCCCGAGGTGCCAGCCAGTGGGCGAGCATCCGTCCTGTCACACCATCAACAAAAGCAAGAAACCAACAAACTGCCTGCCACAGGCAATAGTCTTCACCGAATGCACAAGCCTCACCCTCCCATCTAGACAAGATATGACGCATACCGATGCGCATTCTTGGTGTCGCTGTTGCACTGCCCGGAGCGCCTCCGCACCCTGCGCCGCGCACCTTAGCATCCTCCTCCAGCGCTTCCGTGCCCGCAACACCTTGCGATTTGGATTGGGGCCACAAACCCCAAACCTTAAGCTTCAGAGCATGGGAATTTGGGTTTGGTGTTTACGCCAGCGTGCCTTCAGTGCTTCGAAGCGCCTCAGCACCCTTAGCACGCTCCTCAACGCCCTCGGGGCCCTCAGCGCCCTGCGCACCCTCCGCACACTGACGCCCTGAGCACCTTCAGCGCCTTTGCCGCACCCTCGCGGCTTCGGCGCCTTCCTCGCTCAGCGCCTTCTGCACCCTCATCGCCCCTGGAGACCCTCAGCATTTGTCATTGTGGTAATAGCAATGTAATTTTAGCCGCCATTTGGCGTGCTTTTTCGTGATGATTCTGAAGCTGCATGTCGTGGCCTTATGTCGAGCTGCTGAAGGGCTCTTGACTGAAGCACGGGGAGGTGTCGTCCCCGTGTCTGTCCTAGGGCCAATTGTCGCCAAGCGACAAGACTGTCCCCTTTTGCAAATAGCTGATGTGGACAGTCAGGGAGCAGTTGAGAGCACCCAGGCCCGTTTGGGTGCTTACTGGGGCTGTTGGCTGAAATTTTGTGCAGTCTTGTGGGAGATCTGCGATCCTTGGCAGGCGGCACATGAGATTTTGGAAGACTTGCTAACGACCCTTGGCTGCATCCTTGTACCAGTAGCGTTAGTTTTGCTGGCTCGTGCACGATGAGAGTTTCTGGTGAACTGCTCCTTCCTCGTATGGAGTCACGGGTGACAGAAGTTGGTTAGGCTTCCTGCATCTCCTCATGTTTTCATAAGTATGGAGTTCTAGAGCCTAAACTGAGTAAGTTGGCGTTGATTTTGAAAGCAAGAGCAGTGCGTGCTTATCTTTTCCTAGCAAGACATTGTCGAGCTGTCGCTGCCTCCACATTCTGTGTTAGGGAGGTAGTCACTAGTCTCATCTGTAGCGGGCAGGCTAAGATTTTTCTACTTGTAGTAGATGCAAGGATTCGTGCAGATCGCGACCGCCGCTTGAATGCAGCCAACCCTGGGGCCCTTCTTTTGGTAGGATAGGTTGGCCCCCTGCCAGAAAGTTAAGTTTGCAAAAGTTGAAATCTGGCCAACGGCTGGTTTGCTCATGCATCTCAGAGCTGCTGTCGTTGGGCCGGTCGCATCTGACTCTCACCCGTTAGCCTGGTGAGTGTTCTGTGCTTCTCCACGAAGGATACTACTTCGGCAACGATGACCTGTTCTCCCGGCATCCAGATATCGTACAGGCCTGCACGGCTTCTTTCCTGTTAGGGTTCTTGAACTGAAAGCCGCGATTCGGACTGATTCCAACTGCTGAGATGCGTTGAGCTTCTCCCTGCAGAGCAACGGATGACAGGTTCTGACAAAGGAGGCACCGACTTTGCTAGAGGTCTTGCTCGACAAACTGGTCTGGCGATCGCGAGTGGCGGTTGGTGGTCAAAGACGCGTGAACTTTTTCATCAAGCACTTGCTTGTGGATGATGAAGGACGTTTTGCGGGCGCGACGCAATGGATCTGCCAGATGCAAGATCCGGTGATCGTCGTGCACTGCGTTCTCGACACTTGGTAGCAGCATGCCAAGCCTCATAGACTGTGGGCATTTCGCATTGGCTGTGTGTGTTGATGAAATTAGGAAACATTGACGGATCTGGTCTGGGCCAATGTGATATATGGGCCCTTCCTGCGGAGCAAAGTCTGGCTGTTGTTCACATTGCTGGTGTTCCTCATGAGCCAGTCGATCTTAAAGACCTGGCAAGCAGAGGATGAAGCAACACAGGGCACACTGCGGATTGCGACGCCGGGGACAGATTACCTCTACTGATGTTGTGCCTGTTTTTCCGGCATGGCTTTGCTGATTGCCGGTTTTCCGATTCCAGAGTCTGAACATACGGGCCTACACCAAGGACTGCAGTTTGTCGAGCTTTTGTTTATTTTGCGAGCATGCTGGAGCTCCTTGGCATGGAAGGTTGCTCTGAACATGGGCCACATGCCCAGAACATGGAGCCATGGAACTAAGGCTGATCTACTCGCGTACAAGAATAAGCTGCAAAGCCATCAGAGAGGGGGACATCATCCGGCGATGCCAGATCCCTGTGCCCTCTAAGGTGATCACAGACGCTTGGTACACTTTCGATTCGTAATGGAATGAGTTCGGGGCTTGTGCTACGCTTATGGTCTTGATAGCTTTGGCCTGATGGGTTGAAACCCTATTCCAGTTGTGATCTGCCCTGCACTTTGTGCATGCATGCTGGTGACATGCAGGTGATCTCCGTCAGGCTACAGGGGGCCTGAGCAAAAGTCAAGCAATCGGAGAAGCAGCAATAAGGCCAGACAGCAAGATCCGCACTCGTAAGTCCACACAGAACATCTCGGAGAATTCAGGCCGTCAGGTCACCGGAGTCATGGTACCCTCTGCCCTAAGTCAGTCAGCACTGTCCTCACCCGTGATGTTCCTATGTCGGGTCGAAGCTCTGCAAAGATGGCACAGAACTTCGCTGTGGCCCGCCCATTTTTCTGCTCTTGCTTGGTTGGTTCATGTCCGCAAAGATTCGTGGTTCAGGACTGGCAGGAATCTATGAGCTGGCTTCTGACCTTGATTCTTATTGCCATGTTCATGGTTGAACCGATACTGCTGCTCGGCTCGGCCTTGCCACATTGTTGACCTTACAAAGAGCATCAAAGAGCCCTCAGCACACGATTGCGTGCCAGCAGCTCCAGATACCACAGCTTCAGGTATTGCCTCCAGGCTGACGGCGATTTTCCGGACGCGGGTCTCTTCACACAGAATTGCCACCGGCCATGCATATATGGTTGCTCAGGTTCTTCGACATTGCATCTCGCAGCTTTGGCAGTGGTGTGAAATAGCACTTTGATACTAGCCTTCTTTGCCTTGACTCGGATATTTCTGGCCCAGTGGCAGACTTGCTTGGACCTGCCGCATTGCAGCGGCGCAGGCACTGTATTTGGCAGTGCTCCCTCTTGGCTCAAGGAAGGAGAGCAGCTAAAGTACATACCAATTCGCTAAAACCCGCTTCGGGCCTCATGGCCGAGATCGAAGCCGCGAGAAGTGAGGGCATCAATGGAGCGGAAGACGACGTTTACTTCGTGTCTGTGTCCTACAGGGGAACCGCTTATGACGTACCCGCTCCTTTGTTATGTGCAGTCGATTTTTTCTTCAGGCTTGCCTGCCTCAAGCTCTGCTTTCTCGCAACTGCGATTGTCATGGCTTTCTGTTTGCACCGGCTGCAGTACATGTTCGCAAGCTTGGATCTCAGGTGCAAAGTGACGACCAACTTGCTTCTATTTTCGACTTTGTCCAGGAAGCACTGGACTTTCCCAGGGAGTTCCTGGCCGTCGATTGGATAATGTTGCAGGCTGGTTGATGTGCGCATGGCATAGATTGATTGACAAGAAGCAGTACATTGCAGTACATCTTTCTGTTCACATTCTCTTTGTTAAGGCTGTGAAGCTGTCTCTATTTCTAGCATATCCCGAAGACGGCGAACCTGCGCAGCTGAGGAATTGCAAGTTGATCTTTCGTGGGAAAGTCCTGAGACCAGACAATGAGACTCGGTATGGGGCACTGTATGCTTGTTTACCCGCACTTCGACGAACGAAGCAGTCGCGACAGAAAGGCACAGGAACATCGCTACATGTATCCACGCACCCATGCCGTGAGTGCACAGTGGCTGGAGGCTCTGGCTGTGCGAGTGAAGCCATCGAGAGATGCCTTGCGTGCATGGCCGCAGAGTCCAGGAATTCTGCTCTCAGGACAGCCAAACAGTGGCGGAAGCTGGCCTTGCAGCGGGATGCAAGGTTATGTTAGTGGCGAGCTCTGCCGCTGGGTCCACATGATGGGTTCACATAGAGTACTTGCATTGTTGTGGCTTGCCGTGGATAAAGCCTCCGTGACCTGAACCATTGCTCGGATGCAGCTTCCTTGTTCTGCGGTGTTGCCAACCCGTACCTTCTGAGGCCAAGGATGTCTCGTTCGTGCAGTCTTCCCGGGCTGACCCTCTGGTGAAGCTGTTTTGCATGCCAGCGCTGTATGCTGTACTGTGAGTAGCAGCAAGACGCTGAAAATCACGGCAAAGCTTGATGATAACGTCAGTTATCTAACTATAATGTTGATGCAGAGATTCGCTTTGTGATGAATCCCCCTTTCAATCATCAGTTTCCAAGGAAGGGCTTTGCCGAGGAGGAAAGAGACGAGCAAAGCCGGCGCAAGCGGGCACGAGCTGCTCTCTCTGCCTGGGGCACGAAGCAAGACTCGGAGTTTAATTTTGGCTCGATCAAGGCCCGTGGCTGTTCTGATTCATAGGCAGGGTCAGAGCAGGGTCATTCAGTACTTTTCTCTCGGCTCGATACTGCATCACCTGCATCACCTGTGAAGACGCACTCTCGCTGAAGACATATATTGATTGCGATCCGACCATGCAGGCTGAGTTCAAGTATTCGGAGCCCCCTCCGTATGAGGCGGAGCGCTTGCTGCAAAAATTGGCAACCGACCCTGGCATCATCGAGATCATGAAAACCAGAAAGTTCAAGGTTGGTGTGCTGACTGAGATGAGCCCAGTAGAAGCACAAGAGCGCATGGCCAAGCGCGGCACACCGAACATGGATTTGCTCGGCTACAACCAAAACTACGGCGGCATGATTGTACTTCGGCTGCGGACGGACACCCTGAAGGGGTTTCGGCCCTACCACGACCTCATCAATACATTAATCCATGAGCTGACGCACAATGTTTGGGGTCCGCATGACAACAATTTCTGGAAACTATTCGGCGAGCTAAAGGCCCAGTACATGCGCTTCCATCGCTTTTGGAGTCATGGAGGCAGGGCAGCTGATAGCAATGCTGCCGGCCAGTTCCAGGGATTCGAGGGTGATGAAAGCGCCGGGAAGGAGGGAAACTTCGGACATGTACTTGGAAGCAGCCTCGAAGCGGCTCAGACAGATTCGGACCGAAGGTCTAGAGCGTTGGCTGCGGCCGAAGCTCGCATGGGCCAGACGGAACCAGAGCTTCCCGAGGAGGAAGACCCAGAGGAGGTTGTGAAGCCATGGGTTCCGAATTTCCTGGCCTCGAACGGGCAATGGATGTTTGCTTGTCCCTGTGGGGAAACCCACACTGTATCCACAGACGAGAAGGATGCGCTCATCAATGCATTGGTTGAGGGTGCAACCACATGTCTTGTCGGAGCTGCTGCGCCGTCAAGGCCTGTTGAGATGGAGCAGGATGCTCAGGACGATGGTGACAACGTGGAGCAGTCTGGACCAACTGCCGGCGATCTTACAACGACCGCAGACAGCGAGATAGAGCCTCAAGCAGCACAGCAGACAGAGGCAAGGCTTCTACACCGTGCTCCAAGCTGGTGGTAGTAGTGGGTGCCAGTTGGGATATTCTGGATATTGTGTGGGACTCTAGGACCTAGAATGTTGGATGATGGACAACAGCTTGCTACTTGTTGCATTGTCACGGAGGGGCAGAATCTCCGAAGCCCCTTTTCTCTGTAGGAGACCGAGTCCTCGGCGGCGACTCCGCCTCCACAGGCAGTTTTCGAGGTTGAGGCCTCGGCCCAGACCCGAGCTGCCCCAGCCGAGGACTCCGAGCCGCCAGCATCTCATGGTGTCTGGGCTTCGGGCCGTGTCATGCATTTCAGGAGGATATTCCTGCACTGGACCTCTCCGAGTTGGAGCTGCAGGCTCCCAGCTGCCAGAGCCTGCGGGTCCATGGTCAATGGAGTCAATGTTTTTCCAGAGTGTCGGGTCCAGCTGCATGGCTTCTCCGCCTGTGACGGAGTCGATGCATATGTCCTGCTGACAAGTAAGTACAGTGTGAGCGATTCTTCGGCGTGTCTTACTGGCCTAAAGCAACCGTGGCACCTCGGTCTGGACCCGTGTAGTTGAACCGACTTCCGAGCTTGGAAGGGCTTGGACGGCGCTGCTGTGTGGTTGAAGCGCTTCTCCGAGAAGCTGTCTGGACTAGCTGCCGAACAGGCGACGAAGGTGCGCGGTTCTGTGTTCAGTTTCCTTGCATGCTTGTGCCTTGCTGTAACACTGCGTGATCGACACATGTGCCGAAAAACACGTGCACAAGGATGCTTTGACTTGCTTGTGGTCTTACTGCCTCACTGATCCCCCCCCGACGTCACAGGCAGGTGCTGTGGAGCTTCTGCTAAAACTGGTGAGAAATGTAGTCAAAAGCCCAGACGAGCAGAAGCAGCTTGGCAGCATCTGTCAGAAGCTCGTGCCGCTCCATTCCACTGCCGGGTGCATGATGATGCAAGCGGACATTCGCGGTTTTGGCTTCTTGAACTGCTTGAACACGCATACTATCAGCGAGCGTTTGAAGGAGGCAGGTCTGCGAAAAGTGCTTGCCAAGCGAAGCTGCTTCCCACCCACTGTTCATGCCACTTAGTTTTCTGGAACATCTGCGAGGAGGTTTTCTTGTAGCCAGTAAATGTAGCTCTCAGGTTCCGAAGAATACGGACGGAGAATCCGGCAATCCGTTCGAGGCGGGAGCCAGCATTGAAAGAAGGGGGCAGCAATTGTGTCGGGCAACTCTGCAGTGCTTAGTTAGCATCACCGGACCCACCGTTTGAGCAGCCGGCCAAGCAGCAATCCCACCGTTCCCAGCCAGGCTGATAACTGCTGGTGGGGAGAGAGCCGAAGCTTTGATGACAATGCTTGGCTTTGAGCCGATGCTTCTCGGCATGTATCACGCCGGCGGACCCTGTTTGTGCTCGCACATGTTCGCACAGTTTCTGGTGCTCGTACATCTTATGGTGTGGATGCGGCTAGCACAGGACGGAGTCAAATGGCGAGCGAGTGTTCGTCCTGCGGGATGCGTCGTTTGACTATGCCCGTCTTCGAATGGGTCAAGAGCTTCTAGAGGCTCGGATGCTGGAGTTCCGGATAGTAAAAGCGCCTGGAAGTGTACGCATTCGAGAAACCAGATACGAAAATGCCAGCTCCCCAATGCGACGGCCGCTTTCGCTTCTTGTGTCCATTTTGGGTAAGTTGTCGAATCCAAGTTTGACGAGCTCTGGAGGCCGAGTTGGACAAGATGACTGTGACGACAGCGTAGTGGCATAGTGATGCCTGTAAAGCCCTTTCTTGACGTCCAAGCCTAGCTCAAGCTAATCAAGCTGTTGCTAGTTCCAGGCAAGATTCCCGAATTTGTGGGACATGTGTTGAACACATAGGTGACGAAATCTTTGTGCACTGCCAATTGCAGCGGTGTTTTCCAGCCATGGGTCTTTCAATGGCAACCTCGGACCTTTCTCAGCTCGAAGTTGCCTGGCTGCATGCAGTGCGAGCAAGACTTCAGTTCCCGCAGCAGAGGGACGACGAGTGCACTGGTGGGTGGCAAGATGTGCTGCTGCATTCATTTTCTTGTGTGATGCTGCGCTGAGGTTGTGTGTACAGTGGCCGGGCAAGCCAACCCACAGAGTTTTCACAAGTGGAAGTGTGCGGAGCGGAGACTACTAAGATCGTTTTTTCCTGGATTAATTTCCTTCCACCAGAAGGGCAACGGAGTGTTGATGCAGACTGTTTCGGTCTACTGAGTCTACTTCCACTGTCCAACGGGAGCCCCGAAGGAGCCAGGTTGGAGTTCCGAGGTCGATAGCAGCCCTGCACAGGCTCTCTGGCCATGGAGCAAAAAGCTTTTCAGCGCCAGCCCCTCTCAGTATCATGTCCTTCCCGGCATGCCGTTCTCACACCTCGCAGCGATTCCCTGCATAGGTTCTTTAGGGCATAGCCGTTGAAAGTATCAAGGCTGTCCCCGTTGATCATCTGCGGTTCTTAGTCACGACTGTGCTGCCCAGGTCCTGCAGCAAGAGATGTCCGTGATGTCTACGCATTCTTGTCCATGCTGGCCATGTTTTGTTACTTCGCGCTGTTGGTTGATTTCAGTGCCTGGATGAAATCAAAGATTCAGGAGACATTGCTGTTGAAACAGAGGCTGCAGTCAACCAAGTGAAGTTGTGCCTTTCTCTGCAGGTGCGCTTTTTGTTCGCTGCTCTGCCTTCGTAATGATCTCGGGACAAGTGCTTCCGGAATTAGCACCATGGCAGGACGAGCTTTCGGTGCGGTCTAGTTACGGGCAACGACTGAATTGCAAGTAGCTCGAACGGTTGGCCTTTGAATGCACAACCTAGTTTTGGCCGAAGCTCCGCCCAGAAAGTGAAGAGTGACGTGTCAGGTTCTCATGCTTGGGGCCGTGTTCTACCTGATACTGGTGTTCGGGTGCACCACGTCGGCTTCCAGCGAATCAAGTTCAGATTTCTCAAACATTGCGCAATCGGCGCTCAGCTTTTTCCAGATCAGCATCGGTATGTATCCAGCGGAAAACTTTCACAGCCTCAAAGAGTCACGCTGGATTATGGTGATGTGTGTCGGATTTACAGTGTTGGCCGCTTGGCCCCATGCTTGCGGTATGCTCGCACAGACTACACATGGTTTCTTCGTGGCAGGACTTGCCTCCTCGCAGCTCTTACCGCCAGGTTGTTATTTTCCTGTCCAACGTCCTGATCGCGCAGATCATTGGGGCATACTCCTCATTGTATGACAGAATGCTGGGCTTGGCGCGGCTGAACCGGAGTCCTGGGAATGAAGTATGTCAGATTTCTGTGTTTTCCGATGAAGCGCGGCTGTAGCGAGCCGCTTCTCTCTTCTAAGCCGAGGATGGCAATTATATGCGATTCAATGCCTGCTGTCCGCCGCTCCCGCTTCCGACGCTTTGTGGAGGGGTTGAGGCTGAACGAGCGCATGGAGTTCGGCGAAGGTTGCTGGACAGCAAGAAGCATGACAGGAGTGAAAGGATGATAACATGGTTCAACGAAAAGCCTCGCGATAAAAGAAGCACCTGGGGCAACCACTGACAAAAATGATTGACGTTTGCAGGGACTATTTAGCTTTCCTCGACATGTCTGAATTGTACATCATATCCACATGCTGCCGTCACACCCACTTCGACAACATTGGCCTGCTAGAGCCGCAACTGCACAAACGTCGAAGAGCCGACTGTTGCCAAATTGTCGCACGTCTTGTCCTATTGCGAAAGTAATTTCTCAAAGAGCGGCCTAGTTTTTTTTCCATTTAGGATATCTTACAATCTCTTCAGTGCTTGAGTCTGCTTGAGCTGCACGACCACCTGGGTCACCGGAAGAAACGAAAGCATAAGGATGAAAGGATGCATCCGCATGTTTCTCGCCATGTCATAGAACAGCCAGCTGTCAGTAGGCAGATCAGTGACAGATAAAGTAAACCACGGCTGCACATGAGGGTGGCCCTCAGGAGATGTACATGGTAGTTCTTTCATCAGTTGCCACGGTCTTTCTCCAAGATTATGATGCTTGAGCTCGTCGTTTGGTCTCTTTCAGGTGACGTGGGGCTTCCAGGCTGCATTCAAATCTTGGAGCCCGGCAACTTGAACCCGACCAACCAGGACCGCACGGATTCTGTGTTGTTCCTGACAACATGGACAGCCCGATCGCTTTTTCGTAATTAGTGATTTATGATCGATCAGAACACAGAACCATAGCCCAAAGTCAGTGTCAGAGCGGTGTACGAGCCGACTTATGGTCACCATGCCGATGCCTACTTGGACCCCAGCCACATGAGGTTGTTGCCACCACATGCGGTTTTGAGGCTCAGGGAGTGGGAAATTTACCTGCTGTTGGTGAGCAAAGAGGTCGCTCCAAGAGAAAGTTTGGGCCTTCACTCATTCGAATGTCAACAAGTGTGTTCGTCACGAAGCCAGCTGAAGATTGTGGAATGTCGTTTTGGGTGCTGGTGCCTCTCCACTGAGAGTTTAGTCTGGCATGATGCATCGTTGTCGGCGCAATGTCAGGACTCCATCATTCGCTTCGGTGGGTCAACCTCTCCTAAGATGCCATGGCCTGTCACGTAGCTGTTTAGTTTGCTCTCAGTTGCAGTTGCTTTCACCAGTGCAGGGAGTTTGCCCATGTCCTGCAAACAAGGAAGACGAGGAGGATGCATCGGGAAGCTTGGCAGAGAGGTTGCCCGGCAGCTCGATGTCGAGGTGGACACCTAGGAGCTTTCACCTGGGAGCATCGACTGATGCATTTGTACAGCTAAGGCTTGACAATCTGACGAAGATCTGGAAAAAAGCCATGAAACCCAGCTGGATGAGAATCCATCTTGTCACATGAACTGCTTTTCAGACGTGCCGTCATGCAGTAGAATCGGGAGCCATCACTGGTTTTACGGTCTCCATTTGCGCGACTTTTTGGTGGATTGTTTGTACTACCTGAGGAGAAGGATAGAGAAGAAGAGAGACAAAGGTGGTCGGAGGTCTGGTGGCAGCTCCGTTTCTGATGCTCGTCCAGCAAGAAAGTAACTATGAGAAACTCACACCGTGTGTTCAGATTGCTGTAAGCTCAACGCCGGTGCCAGCACAGGAAAGGGAAAGCAAAAGCAGATCTTCCAGCTCAGTAGCATGGCGGGCAAGTTATGCACGTCTTGGTTGTCATGGTCTTCGCAACATGCAGCTGCTGTGAGTATGGGGCTGACTGAGTTGCCTGATGCAGAGCGATACGGCGATAAGAATGTAAGGTAAACTCCGATTCCTCGCAGTGAGCAGCGCCGTACTGGAAGGTGCTCCTGCTGTGAGCAGTGAACAGTCCTCGGTAGGCAAGATTGGCATCATGGCTAGGCTTCGCGACGATGCCTCTGGCACGCTGGCACTACGGAGCTCGACCTTGGTTACATTTGGTTGGATCAGTGATCCGCGTGTTGCCGTTAATGCACCTGCCGTTGGTGAACAGTCTCACAGCTTTTTCACTTCGGGAATATGTTAATGCGAAGGCCACAGTGGCCAGCAGCTGTGCGTTAAACCTTTGCAAATGTTGCCTTATTCATGTATTTGACAAGCATGCCTGCATGTGGGTGGTTGTCAAAATTACGGCCTTTTTGGGTACCCTAAATATTAGGTGCCGTATTACAATAAGGACTCAAAAAGGGCCCTAAGATTGACAACCCATGTAATTTCATATCTCTGTTTATCTGTATTGTATAAGCGGCTAAATAGTGAGTTCATGCAAGCACGTCGGCACCTGAGGTCATACGAATGTGTCTGCACACACGTCTGCATGAATACATGTATGCATCATACGCATGCATTTATGGCACGCATGCATGCATAGGTTGTTAGTGTGCATGCAGGCGAGTGTGTATGTAGTATGTATGTCAGAATACATGTCTGTGTATTCATGCATGCATGCAATGTTTTTTATACTGTACATCTGTACTTACCTGTACATGTAGAGTCTAGGTGCTGTACGTGTATAAGTACATATATATATATATGCCCCTCCCGGTTGACAGACATGTCCTTTCTTGTGAGTCGCAGTGCATGGTCTGGCATCGGATGGGTGACAAACAGCCCTCCCAAAATTCCAAAATTTCCAAAACTCTCGCCCTAACTTTCCGGACTTCCAAAATTCCCAAAAAGTTCGCCATTGTGGTTTGGAATAATCCTGTCCATTAGGTCCTGGCAATCTTGGAAATTTTGGACTTCTGGAAATTTTGGAAAGTTTGGAAAACCGGAAAGTTACGGGATAGAATTTGGAAATTTTGGAAATGCTGCAACCTGTCCTATACGACGCAAGTGAAATTACTATGTGGTGTATCGGTACCACTATACGCATGTGCTCTATAATGCTTTTACTTTGGGGGCGAAGCATCACTGAGCATGCACATTTCATGACAAATAGTCTTAGTTATTGCGCAAACGATCGCAAACGTAATTTCTACCACTTATTGTAACTAATAACTCTTTAGTCCCCGCGCAGCTGTCATGTTTTCCTCTATCGGTAGTACTAGTATTACTTTACATTATCTACTACTATAATAAAGACTTAAGTTAAGTTGATTACGATTACTCCTATTAACCAGGTATATATCTAACACTGTTTGTGAATGTATTCCCTTGGACTATGTATTGGAATACGTAGATTTTGACATCACAAATTATGAGACATTTTAGTATTCTGACTGCTATTTCAACGGTTGAAACTTTAGAGTAGTCTCTGAGCTTGGTTCTTCCGCTAGAGTGAGTTCAACTTCGCCGCATTTAATGTTGAAAGGAGTAAATGCGTCATTAGTATTAGTGTTTGATTTCAAGCCTTTACCAAAACACTACTGTTACCATTGCTATAATAATCATATTATGAACATCAATCAATCGTTCTATAGATATAAGTAAAACGGAGATGCGTATATACGTAGAAACTTACTAGTATTTGCATGTTCTTATCTACGTTTATCTTCAGGTGTCTGTAGTTGTTTTTTTTGTGCGTGTGTTGTTTTTATCGGCTGTGTGTATGTGTGGGCGTATGTATTACATGCTTCATATATGTATATACACACATCTATATTGCACATCGGTGTGGTGTGTGAAATCATGTGCGCTTCCGCCCCATGCGTGTGTGTGTGTGTGGGTACATGCATGTGTATGTTCGTTTGTTTGTGCCTGTGCCTGTGTATCCGAATACGCTTCCACGCATGCATGGGTGCATGTAGGTAGGTATGTATGTGGGCGGGTGGGTAGGTAGACAGGAACGCAAGTTAGGATGTATGTACATGACAAGTACATGTTTATACGCGTCTGCATGGGTGGATGGATGGACAGTCAGATAAGTAGATACAGACATATAGATAGGTAGCTCGTTGTGAATGTGTGTGTCTCGCCTACTTTTGAAGAGCGTGTCCAAGAATCGTTGCAAGTTAGCATGCAGCTGCTTCTTGTAGCACATTCGTGAGATGTGAGCAGTCATTGGTGCGCTGGTGCCAAACGATATGCTTCCAGACCTACCCCTTGGACTGCACGTAGCCTTGGTTGACATGGCATCGGTGCACACGTCACATGCTTCGGGCACCTCAGGTCCTGCTACCACAAGGTGTAGCGGAAGAAGCAGAGCTGCAAAGCATCCACGGGTCAGGATTGCTGGAATTTGGTTTGCCAAGCATAGCCAGCTCCTGCCCATTCGGCCCATCACCATTTTCCATCCTGAACGAAGCTTCAGATCAGATGCTCAGTTTTCAACAGCCCATGTTCATGGGGAGCGGACGCAAGAAGCAGTTTCACAGCCCGCCACCGGATCGTGGGCTGCAGATCGTCAAGCGGTGGGAACAGAAACTCTGCCCGCACATGTCAATCATCGACTCGAAGAGGCTTTTCTCCCTGCTTAGACAACTTTATCCTGTTTGCTTCCCCCTATTGGAGCCTGTCGCTGGACATGGTGACATTTACCTGCGTTTCCTGATGCTACAGCCTTCAATGCTCCTTTGACCTGGCGCATTCCCGACCTAACTTGCAGTATCCCATCCCACCTCTGCCTCAGCGTAGGCCCGGGCTTGTTCAGGAGGCCTCGTCGACACTGGCTGCGGCTGCAGATGAAGCCAAGTCTGCCAAGTATTCAGAAGTTGCATGGACGGCTCCTCATGCGTACCCAGACACTTGCAGTTGCAGGGTTTACTGAGGTTGCACTTCTCTCTGGAACTACTAAGGACACGCTTCCCTGGTTGGATTTATCCCAGGAGCGACGGGATGAGCAACGCTGCGAGACAGCTGCAAATTTTGGTGTGCGAGGTTTTCAAGTTGCTAGACGGCCGGTTGCAGTCTGGATACCTGTCCTTGGAGCATGACTTCAGAGGAGTCTCACCACAAATTTCGCTACTTGGCCTTCAGCATCTTCGGCGTCTGGGTCGCGGCAATTGGAAGGTACCTGGACCAGGACACTAGAGCACGACGTTTGAAGGGGGGCACAGGCACTTACACTCGCAAGACATCTGCTCGCAGTCTTCTGTGTGTCGGCGATGACCATGCAAGATTGCAGTCGATTGCGATAGCAGAACACTGCACATTTTTAAAGTCACCAGCCACACGCCTCATTGTACTGTGAAGAGCCTGGCGAGGTGGGAGGAGGGCTGCCAACTCGGTGCTGAAAACGACTTGGTTCCAGGCATCCTTGGCGTGGTCGCCTTACAAGCTGACAGGGAGTTAGCCAGACCGTGCCAATGTGCTCGATTGAGGTCTGGCTCTTCCAAAACCAGCTCTTCCGCTTTTGCGGTGCAAGCCTCGTCGCACTTCGAGCTTCGATTATTGGCGTGATTGTACTCAGTGTTGGGCAAGTGCAATATCATCTGTGGTGCATTGGAGCCGTTGTGATCCGTTGTGTCAGTGTCGAAATCAGTTGGGATGCAGCCGAAGTGTGCTATTGTGTCTGTAGCTGCATGCCAAATATACGCTCTCACCATGGCAGCAAGTGTAGTGGACCGGAGCTCCGATGTCTTTTCTTCCGTTTGCACCTCGCAAGCCTTCTGAGGTTCTAGTGATTCTAGTGACGAGGAGCAGGGGCAACAAGGACCTGAAGAAGGTCCCGTTCGAACAGGCGCTGTCGAGGGATCGACGGTCGGTTTTCCTGAAGTACAAGTCCCCAAGCATGCTGCACGTGGTCAGATTTGCATTGTGCGGATTCTCACGTGGGGCTTTTGAGAAAGCTGCCTCGTGGAACATGGCGTGTGGGGCGGATGTCATGAAACTGCCAAGGTCAGTTTTCATTTACGTAAGTGCATGTGCTTCTGGCAGGGGTTTCTTCGACGTGTTTCCTCCCAAAGAGCCATCCAGCCATCGTGACCATAGACGCCATAGACCTTGCAGATGCCCGATGTGAAAAAACTTGTCTGTACGAAGTATGGGGTTCCTTCAGACATATCAATATTTCGACATGTATCGCATGCTGAAATGCTTTTCTGCTGTTGTGTATGTGTGCGTGTGTTTTCTTGTGGTTGTTGTCGTCATCGGTTGTATGCAGCTGCCCAACCAAGCTGGAAATCCAGAGCCATGTGGCTTGAAGCCTGCTTCCTGCATCGTGTAGTCGTATGAGCTCTTGCCTCGGGTGTTGGAAGCAACTTTACACTTGTTTTGCACGTTCTTTCTCCGCATGCCGCAACTTCACAAGTCTCCAGCCGGAAGGTTCCACCTGCCTTATCCCCTTCGTGCTCCTGGCGGCTGTTAACGTGTGATGCCTGGATGCCACGGCTAGTCACGCACACAGCGACAAGCCTATACACCCAGCATGCTATCAGCTTTTTGGGTCCAGTCGAGCTGGCACTGCGAAAGCCAATGCCTTGCTTGCAAGGCTTTCTTTGACTTCTTGATGGTTGTGGTGGCCTGGGCCCGAGGACTATCCTGCAAGGGGCGCCTGTGGAATCAACTTGGAAGGCTTATCCAGAGTGCTTCGAGTCCGTGATGGCGGCAGGGCAGGGTTGCGAGCACTTTAATGTATGAAGGAATTCGCCCTCTTGACTGGGTGGTAAAGGTCGTTGTTTCAACCTCTGCTTTGCAATGGGCACTTCATGGTTTTGGGAGGATTAATGAAACGGACTCGAGAACAGTGGGAGCTCTTGTGCCAGGTGATCTGCTTTGATGCCGTAGAAACAGTGCAGCCATGTTTCAGCCTGCACGCTGCCCTTGCCGCAAAGAGATGCCTTAAGTTGTGGTGCTGGTAGTGCGCCAGGCCAAAGGCACTCTGTGCGCCGAATCGTTCTTCACCTTTGGAGCGGGCGTCTTTCAGGCTCAGAAGCGATTGCAACTTTCTAGGTGCAAACACAAATTTTAGGATGTCTGCGAACTGTATCTTTTATAGGCACCTCAGACTGTTAGCGTGACATGGTGGAGCCTTGATTACCTTGATTTTCCCGGTACTTCTTTTCAGATCCATCCTCAAGCAGTGCCTTGCCTCGGAAACGGATGTCACACAAACTAGTCAATCCGACATGATTCGCAATGCTTCATTGCTGCGTTTTCCCCGATTTCCAGCTTCGGGGCTGTGTGGCTTCTAGTTTCGCGGCTTCTCGGCTCCTGGCTTCTCGGAATCTGTGCCTTTCGGCTGATCCGGCTAAACCCCAGACCCTATGGTTGCGTTTTGCCCTCATGTACTATGGCCGCTTTTCGATTCGAGCTGCGGCCTGCTGGCGCCGGGGGCTCTTACATTCCCGATGAAAGGATTGGATGATTGGATGGGTGGGCCACGATGCCTGCACTTTCACCTTACTATTATCTGGGACGGTTCCTGGGCATAGTCGAGAGCATGCAGAGCAAACGATCGTTGAGCTCACAGAACAAACGATGTCAACAAGAAAAGAGCACGCGAGAATGGAATAGATTAGGCCACCAGCTTGAACTACGGATGACAGTCTTGGTCTGCTGAGCACGGCCTTCGTCTGGACTCGGTTGCTTGCCTTGTCGGTTGGTGCAGACCTGGGGGTTCGGCTAGTTGAGGCTTCTTTGGGCGCCTGACAACACAAGATTCCCTTTTTGTGTTAGGCCTGCAGTGCCATCCTTGCATTTCAGCCTGGGACTCAGGAAGGGTGCTTGCGCGGAATACGTAGGACTTTTACCGGCAGAGTAGACCAGCATCACGTCTCTGAAAAAACTGATTCCGTCAGCTGCAGGATCTGGTGGAGTATGCCTCAAAGCTCAGGCTACAGCCCGGTCCTGCAGGACACCAATTAAATCTGGGAATTCCATTGCAGGTGCACGTCTGAACTTGGTTGGTGAGTCAGAGCACTTCTAAAAGTCATGAAGATCCGATTGACTAGTGGGGGGTTCATCACATCTGCGTGTATCGGTGTATATTCGGTACGTTTCTTCGAATCGACAGATTCCGTGACTTGCTCCAGTTTTTTCTCAAGCGAGCAGAAGGTTGCATTTCAAGGGGCTGCATACAGTATGTCGTAGATCGAAACAGCAGCCGTTCGTCGTGGTGGGTTGGTCCGGTGAGGCTTTGCAAAATGGGCCCCCCTACATCTTCTGCATATTCAGAACTGTAAAGCCACGGCCTTCACTGGCTTGCGAGAGTCTTGATTGCACGCGACCTTACTGGTTGCTCGTAGCGATGCTGCGGCCAGTCGAGGCTCGTCGAATGAAGGCACAGGCTTTGTCCTTCGGCGGGCTGGCCCCCTTGATTTAATCCGTCTGCTTGAGGCTTCAACATCGCAGCCTAGCGACTAGCTTCTGGTGATTTCTCGGCTCTTTCGGCTTGTCGGCTGTGAGGCCAGCCCAGAATGGAAGGCACCGGCCGGCGGTTTGGATTTATCACGATTACGTATGTCCGAAGCCCAGAGTGATTCCGCTTGAAGTCCTCTCGTGCGAAGTGCAACGGCCAGCGTGGAAAAAAGGTTTTTGCAGAGCTCGGCGATGCGGCCCTGTCCATGGTCCAGGATGAGCATCTTTTCAATTGGACGGATTTGCTGAAACTCTTTCATCTGCCGTGGGACGCTGTGCAGGAGGAGCTCACGTGTCGGACGGCCGCCTCCGAGTTCTTGCAGGTGGCCAAGCTAGGCGCTGAGTATCTTCCAGGTGCTGTGAGTAGTTGCAAGTTTCCCTGCTTCATCTTGCCTGTTTATATTCTGAACTCAACATGCAGACATATCAGTTCTTGTCTTTGCATGTCTATGCGTGAGTGAGGCTGTCTGCCTCAAGATGGTTGTCACCACAGACATGGCCGGCACCAGCCAGAACCTCAGTGTAGCACTTCGGCACTAGTTGCGCTACCGTCAGGATTCAGGATATCTGGGCATTCAGCGGGTATTCGTGTGAGGTTTGCTGTCTCAGGCCGACGACTTGCTCGAGAAGTGTGCGCTTGAAGGCCCACGGAGACAGAGAGAGCCGCATTGTTGTAGTATTGTTGTGGCCCAGCTCCAGACACGGGGCTGTTGGGATGCGTTCTTGGTTCGCTCGGTTTAGTCGCAGTATGTATGTTCTTTGTCTGCAGCATCGGGCTTCTCGAGACTCTTGCGTAGCTATTTCAGCTGTGAACTGGTGACGCGACCGACATGTACGCCTACACGGGGACAGTCGATCAGGACCAGGGTGCCACCGATTTAGAAAGTCACGGGCTGCTCAGTTCGGAGCCTGCTCGGCAAGAGCGGACTTGTGGATGGCAGTGTTTGGCGGCTGCCTTTCTTTTGAGTTTGGTGCTTACTGTCTCATTTGTGGCACATGGCACCAGTCCTGGCTTGAAAGCAGGTGTGGAACATAAGGTCCAGCTGCAAGACGATTCCATTTGGAAGGAGGTCCTCGGTCACAAGGCGTACCAGCAGTACGAGAGCTCCGCATCCCACAAGACATCCGAGACGACCACAATGGAGACCGTGGAGACCACTGCATCTGTTGCCACGACTTCCAGCCGTCCCAGCCCTCGCAGCAGCTCTTCCAGCTCCAGCTCCAGCTCCAGCTCAGCGCTCACAACGACAGCAAGAGCGCACACCGAAGCTCCGCGGCCCGGCCTCATCATCTCTACGAATGCTCAGGAGGAAACTCAGACAGCTCCAGTAAGCAGCGGAACAGATGCAGACCGCGTTTCGAAGATGGATGATGTGGCCAAAGAGTTCATGAGTGAGGCATCAAAGCTGGATCCAGATAGCGCAGAACACCACTCCCTCAAAAGAGTTGCTCACTTCCTATCGGGTATGGCGACCGCCAAGAAACGGATTGCTTCCACGACTCCCATGCCGAAGCTCCCTCAGCTCACAGGGAATGTCAGCCAAATGCCTTTGCACAGTCAACTTGCTCCCTTGGAGTCGCTAAATGATGGCAACAAGTGTGCCAGCGACGAAGAGGAGATTCTTGGGACTTGCTACAAGAAGTGCGTCGATCTTACAGGTGGATACTTTCCAATCAGGACAAGCCCCTTCTCCTGCTGTGAGGCCGAGCCGTGTGGTTTTCAGAACACGCGGGTTCATTTGAGCTTCTGCTCTGGCTTCGATGTCGCAGGAGACCAGGAAGGAAAGGGTTGCCCCAACTTCGAGGGTGCGTGTTTGACTGATGAGGAGCTCTTCGATGGTCTTTGCTACAAGAAGTGCTCTCTCTTCCCCAGTGGCTACACCTACAATCACAGAGTGGCTCCGAACATGTGCTGCAGCACTCACGGGCTTCGCTGCCTGCTGCCCAAGTACTTCAAGTTCAGCACTGATTTCGCAGTCGGAGGTGGCCGAAACGATGGCAATGCACAGACGCCATCGTTCGCACATGCACCCATGAAGGAGCTGACAGAAGTTGAGGCATGAGAGCCTGATCAATTGCATCTTGCAGCCAATGCTTTCGCAAATTCAGAATGAACCGATGTGACTGTGCGCAAGATAGCCGGACTCTTTGATGCAGCTTGTTCTTTTGAAGTGAAGTAGTCGTCCTGGCACGACTTTAAAGTGTATGTTCCAGGAATATGGCTAGGAGCAAAGAGGATGAACAAAGACAGACAGCACTGCATCAAGGCTGCGCACATTGCTTGTTTTGTACACTACGGCCGTGACACTGGGCGAGGATCCAGTGATAATTCGGTCTCAGCAACAGTTCTGTGACCGCAAGAACTCTCAGTGAGATGCCTGGCAGACTCGTAACCGACTGCAAAAGAGCTCGCAGCGGTGGCTTAATATGGGTGTCTTCCCCGAAGACCAGCATGGTTGGTGCTCCATTCCTGTGCAGGGAGCGCTTGTGCAGATCGGTGGGAAAGCAGTCGCTGCACAGCAGATAGCCTGTCAGGGCCTTGGGCAGTTTTAAGGACAGTGCGACGGGGAATGTAGCAAAGCAAGGGTTGAGTTTGTCCGCATGTCGGGAGGTTGTTGCCGCCAATACTGCGGCAATGCGCGGAGATGTCGGACGTTCTTCGGCGCTGGAATGCGGGCCCACCCGGCTCTTCACATTGAGATGACGAAGTTGCAAGAAGCCGCTTGAAAGCTCAGGTCTCACATGAAGAGCCGCCGGAAGGCAAGATGATCATTCTGTCAGTCCCGATCTTCGTTTTTCACTTTTGGTGATGTTGGGCTTGAAACCGCCGCCGAAACCACAAACCGGCTCCGGATCCCGTCGAGGAGTGCTGTCGGAGCGGCTTAGCGAGATAATGCAGGCTCGTGGGGTGCTCTTGTCTTGCAAAACAGCTTAGGTTCCATGGGATCGCTAGGCATGTGTGTGCTGTCGGCACCATCTTGAAACATACATGTTCGTTATTGAGAAGTTGCTCCCATGCTGCTTTCAGAAGTGTGTAGCTTCTGATTTCCGAATGAAGCTTTCAAGCGTGACGGATTCTTGTACTGCTGCCCCTCCCTCCCACTGCCGTTCTGGCTTTGCAGTGCCGACTTTGTTACAGACGGGCCTGTTGAAAAGTCAAGGCCTCTCCGTCGGGCCGGCATGATCTGACCGAATGTTTCCAGCATGCTGTAAGCGTGATGCCAAAAAATAAGAAGCCAAGACAGCACCAACAAGTGACAGGTAGTACTGGAAAACTCGGTCCAGGTAGCTTCAACCAACTACCTGAGATCAGCTTGGCTAGCAGCCTGTAAAGAGTCGAGAGACTTCGGCACCACTGTGTCGTCCTCTGGGCATCGAAGTCGGCAGCTGCTCTGCTTAAGCGGCTGTTCTCTTGAGAACTTCATGGGCCTGGAACAAGAGTTGTTGGTTTTGTGCGTTTCTGTGCTGAGAGAGGGTTCTTATTACTTGGCCTGATACGCACATCGCTTTAACCAGTGCATCGAGTGCAGCCCAGGTCATGGCGGAGCCGTCAAGCAAGGCCAGAGAAGACATGGTTTTGTAGCAAGCATTCCTTTTTTTTTGAGGGTCGAACGTGCCACCAGTGGTCTGCAAATAGGGCCTCGCCTCGTTGATCTCTAGAAGGGAGAGACGACTGGGTTGACTGTGGCTCAGGTGGCAAAAGGCGAGGAAGCCGTTCTGGAGATCGCTGAGATGTTGTGCCTTGCCTTCCAAGTTACCTACACATGATGCAGCCGATGCGCATTCCAACATCAACAGTGCTTGCTGCTTTGGGCACTCTCTCCCGCTCAGGTTTCTGAGAGTCTCCGAGAACAAGCAACTTGCAAGCAGCTTGGCTGCGTTTTGCTCGTGGCAAGTACCCCAGATGAAGCGCTAGCTGGCAGCCAGCTGGATGGGCCACGCATTACTTGCCGTTGCCACGACACAGCACTGAAGTGCACCTGCTCCTTTGTTTGAGGTCTCTTCGACCAGAAGCACTCAGACCAGGCGTTAGAGGAAGTTGGGCTACAAAGTGTGGAGCGACACATGTTTCAAGCACTGCTTCATGATCTGGGAAAGTAGGAAATGCACATGACAATTTCCGAATGCAGCATCTGTGCAACTTGGAGGATTTCTTCGACAAGTTCCCCCGACCAATCGCACCGAACATGCTTGCTGATTCGAGGAGTTCGCGAACCTGATTGAGAAGCTGTCGGAGCTCGACTCCGCGCCAATAGCGATATCGCCCAGCCTGTTAAGCCAGCAGGCCAGATAGGAGAAAATGGGAGAAACTGCACGATGGTACAGGAGCGCGGTGCCTGGCTTGAGCCGAGGCGGTGGACTCTGTCGCTGAGATCCTTCTGCATTCTTTGCAAGAGCACTCAGATGTCCCAGATCCGCTTGCGACCGTCAAGGCCTCAGGCATTTGCTGGGGCGCAATTCATCACTAAGTGTCCGTAGAGCATGCCTCTCAGAGCAAACCTTGGCAAATGGACCAGATGTGCCCCACCGCCTCCGCCCAGAGCCTGGCGAAGTTGACCCAGTCAGCTCGAAGCGAGCCCCGCCTTTCACGGCTGGTGAGCGACATCAAGAATGCACAGGCATCTTGGGGCGGTTTGTTTTCTGGCAGTCAAGTTCGTATCGTTTGAGCATTGGGAGTTGTGCTTCAAAGGGTTTATTCGGTTTTAGAGGACGGATGGAAAACGGGGTTCGGCGCGTGCAGGCAGCACACATGACTGCTTTGGAGGCAGCCGTCACGCGGCAGCAAGCAAGAAGCTGTGTTGACAAGCGAAACTTGTACACTGCCCGAGCAAGCCTTTGATTATTCGCCGTTGCCAACTCAAGGCTGGCGGAGAAGATGCAGAAGCAGACGACTTGAATGGTGACTTCAACATAATGCCGTCAGCCCACATTGCTTCTCAAGTTTCCGTCACCAGGTCCGAGTCTTGGTGTATTTAGCTCTCCCACCTTCCTCCTGCAAAGGTCTTTCGAGGAGCTCGACATGCCGGAGCACGAGGCTTCGTTTTCAATTTCAATGCCAGGTCGCCAGAAGCAGGTGTTCCCCGGGAGGCGAAGCAGGTCCAAGAAGTGTGGAGTCGCTTCAACTCGTTCTATGACTCGTCAGAGGCGGCCGGTGAGGCTCGACTCGGCATTCGCACTGCTTCCATGCAGCGCACTGGCTCTATAATTTGTGCTCATGCTGACTTGCGACATCTTGCAACTGCTAGGTGTTTGCGATTGCTTGCGGTTGTCGGAACTCCACTCAGGGCAGTTACTGCAGGTTGTAGTGTTGTTCAGATCGAGGCGATGTTTGATGCTATCCTTGATGCATCGCCCACTTTGGGAACTTTCTTTAAGCTGCCAAGGCCAGATGTGAGTGGCTGTGAGTGGCTAGAGGTTGCAGAGTCTTATGCTACAGCTCATTTTTCTTTATGTGCCAGGGCTGTTGCATCAATGCGCCTTCAGGAGGGGATCAACCAGATCCTTGGCCTTAGATTTTCAGATATTTCAAGTTTGTCTTTCCCTGTTTGATTCTGCCTTCCAAGCTTTCACTCGTCGCATTTGCTCAGGATTATCAAGTCCTTGCGGAATCCGAGACAGACCAAACAGTTAGTGGACATCCTCGGTGCCTGGGACTGTTTTGTTACATTCTCGAGACAGTAGCTTGTCGGCGCGTTGCGCGGCTATATGGGGTTTTTGGAGGGTAACCTGCGCTTTTTGCGTATTGACCTTCATGGTGATTGTATTTCGCCATGCGCCATTTTTGTAAGATTCCTTGATGTATGTGTTCAGTGGCGAGCAGGGGTCATGCCCAATGGGATCCGAGATTGGGACATGACTTATCAATCTTTGGGCGGCACATGGTCATTTGCCATTTTGTGTCAGCATGCCAATGGAAGTCTGCTTCAGGAACAGTAATGGCCACACATGAACATATTCGTGTGCTTGCAACTGTTTGCAGCTTTTCGGGAAGCACCTCGCAGGTGTCGCCAGTCGACTGCCACAGTCGCAAAACAAACCGCCCCAAGCCAAATGATGGCCTCGGAGAAACTCGGGCGGTCATGTTCTATATCAAGAAGCATTACACAAGCCGAGTGTGAAAAACATCGGGGCTGCAAAAGAGACCGAGTGGGACTTTTGGCAAAGGGGCTCCAGTTCGACTTCGTCCCAGCCGCGCCTTCATCCTGCCGTGCTCTGCTCGTGATTGTAGCGACTGTGCCTGCGCGTTTGCATCCAGGTTTCAAGCACCTCAATCTTGACGTCACTGGCTCTCGCGTGCGGCTGCTGATCGGCACTTTTGTTTTGCATCAACGGAGTTCGATGATGCAGTGCAACAAGGCGTTAGAGATAGATGATTCAAGGTGACACTTAGAGCAAACAAGGATGATTCGCGATGCGCTGGTGGAACTGGTAGCCAGTGAAGTGATTGCATCGCACTCACGGCAAGCTCTGGGAAGCTTTATCAAAGTCCTCAACTACATAGGCCAGACTGGAAGTGCGTGGAGTTCAGAAGCTTTGGCGAATGTTGCAGCTGGTGATGATACAGGTGGAGCTCTGTTATACATACGAGCCACCTATTCGCAGCGATTGCAGATATTGTGCCTGACTTGCAAAAGCATGGTTGGCTGTCCAATATGTCCAAGCTTGCTCCCCATGGCATTTAAAACATGACTTGTGTGGAATGCCGCAAGTAGGCATAGATCAGGTCAACCAGCTGGGCGGAGGCGAACAGAGATCGCGACAAGGTCAAGAAAGGATCCGGCAATAAGAAGGCTCAGGAGCGCAGTTCTTGAGGTTTTCCGTGGAGCCATGCCAAAGAGGGGGGCCGGTTGCTGGATGTACAGGACGCTGCGCAGCTCACCAAGCAAAAGATGGATGAGCATGTGCCGGAAGAGGTGCATCGGGGGCGGTGGTGTCGCAGCGAAGCAGCTGCAATTGGCAGTTAAGGTAGTATCCGGTGTCCAGACAACCTGCCCGAAGGTCGTGTACATCGGAGAGGAGCGCATGGCAGAGCGACGACGCCGTCAGGCAGGTTTGTCAGTTGTACGTGGCAAAGCCATGGCATAGTTGTGCTTGCACGGGATGGGCAAGCACTTGGGCTTTCTCGCAGATTTTGCCAGAACGAGGGTGGATTGTACATACGCGTTGCAAACGCAATTCCTTTCAGAATGCAGGAGCAGCATGTGCCAAAGACTTTCTATGCGTCTTGGATCCGTTGACATGCAGGGCAAAGAAGCCGTTCGCAGTAACGTCATAATCTTCATCGGCAGCGCCTCCTTTCAGAGTCTGAGGACATGTTTTGCTTCAATGCTGCCGTCATGGACCTGCTTCAGGCACACAGCCACTCTGCACGGTTGTGGAGTCCATTCATGTGCTATCAGGACTGGATGTTCGAAATTCTCGATGCCTTCGATGACATTGTGTGCAATGCAGCCAATGTCTATCGCCTGCAGGACAAGCCGGCTAGAGCGTTAAGCAAAAGTCTCGGCCGGAAAGTGCATCGTATCAGACCTTGCACGAGTTTGACTCTCCGAACCCGGCGTCTCAGAGCTCTGGCAGGAAGAATGTGATGTTCTCGTCCTGAAGATCTCTAAGTTGGACACTGAGATCAATCTCGACGACTTCAAAGCGGCCTCTCGGATGGCTTGCAGGGTTCAGCTTGCTGGAGCTGAAGGGTGGACTTTATCGGCGCAGAGCGCAAATCAAACCGAGCGAAACCACACCTCCCGTCCACCCAAGAGCCTGATGAGATTTACACTGTCACGTGTATCCAGGCGAACACATGCCATTGGAAGCGCCACCAGCCTGGCTCATGCTCTTTAGTCTGCGACAACCTGCGATTCCCGAGGTTATGCTTGCATCGCTTCGGTCACTCCTGCC